ATGTTGGCTTTAACAATTAAGGCTTGAATGTCCTTTCAGCATCCAAAATGGTAATGCTTCAGAGACAGTTGCGGATTAGCATTGGAAGTGTCCGATTCAATTTTGAATCTATTTGTCAGGGCTAATAATGCGCCCATGCCTAAAATCCTTTAGGCTTGAATGTCCTTCAGCATCCAAAATGGTAATGCTTCAGAGACAGTTGCGGATTAGCATTGAAGTGTCCGGAATTCAATTTTGAAATATTTGTTCAGGGACGACTTATGTCCCCAAGCCTAAATAATTAGGGGATTCCTTTCCCAGCAACCTAAATGGTAATGCTTCAGGGACAATTGTTGCGGAATATTTATTCCTTCAATTGTCCGACTCAATTTGAATTTCTTTGAGACGGCTTTAATCCCAAGCCTATTCCTTCAAGGGATTGAATGATTCCTTTCAGCAAACAAATGGTAATGCTTCAGAAACGACTTCATGTCCCAGTTTTATTCCTTCAAGGCTGTAGAAGATTCCTTTCAGCAACCAAATGGTAATGCTTCAGAGACGACTTCATGTCCCAGCTTTATTCAGTGGCTGTAGAAGATTCCTTTCAGCAACCAAATGGTAATGCTTCAGAGACGACTTCATGTCCCAGCTTTATTCCTTCAAGGCTGTAGAAGATTCCTTTCAGCAACCAAATGGTAATGCTTCAGAGACGACTTCATGTCCCAGCTTTATTCCTTCAAGGCTGTAGAAGATTCCTTTCAGCAACCAAATGGTAATGCTTCAGAGACGACTTCATGTCCCAGCTTTATTCCTTCAAGGCTGTAGAAGATTCCTTTCAGCAACCAAATTTGCTTCAGAGACGACTTCATGTCCCAGCTTTATTCCTTCAAGGCTGTGAAGATTCCTTTCAGCAACCAAATGGTAATGCTTCAGAGACGACTTCATGTCCCAGCTTTTATTCCTTTCAAGGCTGTAGAAGATTCCTTTCAGCAACCAAATAATAATGCTTTCAGAGACGAAATTCATGTCCCAGCTTTATTCCTTCAAGGCTGTAGAAGATTCCTTTCAGCAACCAAATGGTAATGCTTCAGAGACGACTTCATGTCCCAGCTTTATTCCTTCAAGGCTGTAGAAGATTCCTTTCAGCAACCAAATAATAATGCTTCAGAGACGACTTCATGTCCCAGCTTTATTCATTCAAGGCTGTAGAAGATTCCTTTCAGCAACAAATGGTAATGCTTCAGAGACGACTTTCATGTCCCAGCTTTATTCCTTCAAGGCTGTGAAGATTCCTTTCAACAACCAAATGGTAATGCTTCAGAGACGACTTCATGTCCCAGCTTTATTCCTTCAAGGCTGTAGAAGATTCCTTTCAGCAACCAAATGGTGGTAATGCTTCAGGAGACGACTTCATGTCCCAGCTTTATTCCTTCAAGGCTGTAGAAAGATTCCTTTCAGCAACAAATAATAATGCTTCAGAGACGACTTCATGTCCCAGCTTTATTCCTTCAAGGCTGTAGAAGATTCCTTTCAGCAACCAAATAATAATGCTTCAGAGACGACTTCATGTCCCAGCTTTATTCCTTCAAGGCTGTAGAAGATTCCTTTCAGCAACCAAATGGTAATGCTTCAGAGACGACTTCATGTCCCAGCTTTATTCCTTCAAGGCTGTAGAAGATTCCTTTCAGCAACCAAATAATAATGCTTCAATCTTCATGTCCCAGCTTTTTATTCCTTCAAGGCTGTAGAAGATTCCTTTCAGCAACCAAATAATAATGCTTCAGAGACGACTTCATGTCCCAGCTTTATTCCTTCAAGGCTGTAGAAGATTCCTTTCAGCAACCAAATAATAATGCTTCAGAGACGACTTCATGTCCCAGCTTTATTCCTTCAAGGCTGTAGAAGATTCCTTTCTTTTCAGCAACTTCATGTCCCAATGGTAAAGATTCTTCAGCAACGACTTCATGTCCCATGTCCCAGCTTTATTCCTTCAAGGCTGTAGAAGATTCCTTTCAGCAACCAAATAATAATGCTTCAGAGACGACTTCATGTCCCAGCTTTATTCCTTCAAGGCTGTAGAAGATTCCTTTCAGCAACCAAATAATAATGCTTCAGAGACGACTTCATGTCCCAGCTTTATTCCTTCAAGGCTGTAGAAGATTCCTTTCAGCAACCAAATGGTAATGCTTCAGAGACGACTTCATGTCCCAGCTTTATTCCTTCAAGGCTGTAGAAGATTCCTTTCAGCAACCAAATGGTAATGCTTCAGAGACGACTTCATGTCCCAGCTTTTCATTCCTTCAAGGCTGTAGAAGATTCCTTTCAGCAACCAAATGGTAATGCTTCAGAGACAACTTCATGTCCCAGCTTTATTCCTTCAAGGCTGTAGAAGATTCCTTTCAGCAACAAAAATAATAATGCTTCAGAGACGACTTCATGTCCCAGCTTTATTCCTTCAAGGCTGTAGAAGATTCCTTTCAGCAACCAAATAATAAAGCTTCAGAGAAACTTCATGTCCTTCATGTCCCAGCTTTATTCCTTCAAGGCTGTAGAAGATTCCTTTCAGCAACCAAATAATAATGCTTCAGAGACGACTTCCCATGTCCCAGCTTTATTCCTTCAAGGCTGTAGAAGATTCCTTTTCAGCAACCAAATAATAATGCTTCAGGAGACGACTTCATGTCCCAGCTTTATTCCTTCAAGGCTGTAGAAGATTCCTTTCAGCAACCAAATAATAATGCTTCAGAGACGACTTCATGTCCCAGCTTTATTCCTTCAAGGCTGTAGAAGATTCCTTTCAGCAACCAATGGTAATGCTTCAGAGACGACTTCATGTCCCAGCTTTATTCCTTCAAGGCTGTAGAAGATTCCTTTCAGCAACCAAATGGTAATTCCTTCAAGCTTTCAGAGACGACTTCATGTCCCAGCTTTATTCCTTCAAGGCTGTAGAAGATTCCTTTCAGCAACCAAATAATAATGCTTCAGAGACGACTTCATGTCCCAGCTTTATTCCTTCAAGGCTGCTAGAAGATTCCTTTCAGCAACCAAATAATAATGCTTCAGAGACGACTTCATGTCCCAGCTTTATTCCTTCAAGGCTGTAGATTCCTCCTTTCAGCAACCAAATAATAATGCTTCAGAGACGACTTCATGTCCCAGCTTTATTCCTTCAAGGCTGTGAAGATTCCTTTCAGCAACCAAATAATAATGCTTCAGAGACGACTTCATGTCCCAGCTTTATTCCTTCAAGGCTGTAGAAGATTCCTTTCAGCAACCAAATGGTAATTCTTCAGAGACGACTTCATGTCCCAGATTCATTCAAGGCTGTGTTCCCAGCAGCAAATAATTGCTTCAACGACTTCATGTCCCAGCTTTATTCCTTCAAGGCTGTGAAGATTCCTTTCAGCAACAAATAGGAACGACTTCATAATTCCTTCAAGGCCAAATAATAATGCTTCAGAGACGACTTCATGTCCCAGCTTTATTCCTTCAAGGCTGTAGAAGATTCCTTTCAGCAACCAAATGGTAATGCTTCAGACGACATGTCCCAGCTTTATTCCTTCAAGGCTGTGAAGATTCCTTTCAGCAACCAAATAATAATGCTTCAGAGACGACTTCATGTCCCAGTCTTTTATTCCTTCAAGGCTGTAGAAGATTCCTTTCAAACTAAATGGTAATGCTTCAGAGACGACTTCATGTCCCAGCTTTATTCCTTCAAGGCTGTAGAAGATTCCTTTCAGCAACCAAATAATAATGCTTCAGAGACGACTTCATGTCCCAGCTTTTTATTCCTTCAAAGGCTGTAGAAGATTCCTTTCAGCAACCAAATGGTAATGCTTCAGAGACGACTTCATGTCCCAGCTTTATTCCTTCAAGGCTGTAGAAGATTCCTTTCAGCAACCAAATGGTAATGCTTCAGAGACGACTTCATGTCCCAGCTTTATTCCTTCAAGGCTGTAGAAGATTCCTTTCAGCAACCAAATAATAATGCTTCAGAGACGACTTCATGTCCCAGCTTTATTCCTTCAAGGCTGTAGAAGATTCCTTTCAGCATGTCACCAAATTCCTTTCAATAATGCTTCAGAGACGACTTCATGTCCCAGCTTATTCCTTCAAGGCTGTGAAGATTCCCTTTCAGCAACCAAATGGTAATGCTTCAGAGACGACTTCATGTCCCAGCTTTATTCCTTCAAGGCTGTAGAAGATGTAGAAGATTCCTTTCAGCAACCAAATAATAATGCTTCAGAGACGACTTCATGTCCCAGCTTTATTCCTTCAAGGCTGTGAAGATTCCTTTCAGCAATTCCTTCAAGGCTGTGAAGATTCCAAAAATAATAATGCTTCAGAGACGACTTCATGTCCCAGCTTTATTCCTTCAAGGCTGTGAAGATTCCTTTCAGCAACCAAATGGTAATGCTTCAGAGACGACTTCATGTCCCAGCTTTATTCCTTCAAGGCTGTAGAAGATTCCCCCACTTTATTTCAGCAACCAAATAATAATGCTTCAGAGACGACTTCATGTCCCAGCTTTATTCCTTCAAGGCTGTAGAAGATTCCTTTCAGCAAATAATGCTTCAAAACCCCATTCCAAATAATACCTTTTCAGCTTCAGAGACGACGACTGTCCCAGCTTTATTCCTTCAAGGCAACCAAATGTAGAAGATTCATGTCTTTATTCAGCAACCAAATAAATGGTAATGCTTCAGAGACGACTTCATGTCCCAGCTTTATTCCTTCAAAGGCTGTAGAAGATTCCTTTCAGCAACCAAATAATAATGCTTCAGAGACGACTTCATGTCCCAGCTTTATTCCTTCAAACCTGTAGAAGACTTTCAGCAACCAAATAATAATGCTTCAGAGACGACTTCATGTCCCAGCTTTATTCCTTCAAGGCTGTGAAGATTCCTTTCAGCAACCAAATGGTAATGCTTCAGAGACGACTTCATGTCCCAGCTTTATTCCTTCAAGGCTGTAGAAGATTCCTTTCAGCAACCAAATAATAATGCTTCAGAGACGACTTCATGTCCCAGCTTTATTCCTTCAAGGCTGTAGAAGATTCCTTTCAGCAACCAAATAATAATGGTTCATGTCCCAGAAGGCGACTTCATGTCCGACTTCATTCCTTTATTCAAGGCTGTTTATTCCTTTCCAACCAAATGGTAATGCTCAGAGACGACTTCATGTCCCAGCTTTATTCCTTCAAGGCTGTAGAAAGATTCAAAACCAAATAATGCTTCAGAGACGACTTCATGTCCCAGCTTTATTCCTTCAAGGCTGTGAAGATTCCTTTCAGCAACCAAATGGTAATGCTTCAGAGACGACTTCATGTCCCAGCTTTATTCCTTCAAAGGCTGTAGAAGATTCCTTTCAGCAACCAAATAATAATGCTTCAGAGAGACGACTTCATGTCCCAGCTTTATTCCTTCAAAGCTGTAGAAGATTCCTTTCAGCAAACAAATAATAATGCTTCAGAGACGACTTCATGTCCCAAGGCTGTTATTCCCTTCAAGGCTGTAGAAGATTCCTTTCAGCAACCAAATAATAATGCTTCAGAGACGACTTCATGTCCCAACTTTATTCCTTCAAGGCTGTAGAAGATTCCTTTCAACAACCAAATGGTAATGCTTCAGAACGACTTCATGTCATGGCTGTAGAAGATTCCTTTCAGCAACCAAATTCATGTCTTCGAGACCTTCAGCTTTATTCCTTCAAGGCTTAGAAGGAATGCTTCTTTTATTCAGCAACCAAATAACAACCAAATAATGCTTCAGAGACGACTTTATTCCTTCAGGCTGTCCCAGCAACCAAATTCCTTCAAGGTCTGTAGAAGATTCCTTTCAGCAAACAAATGGTAATGCTTCAGACGACTTCATGTCCCAGCTTTATTCCTTCAAGGCTGTAGAAGATTCCTTTCAGCAACCAAATAATAATGCTTCAGAGACGACTTCATGTCCAACTTTATTCCTTCAAGGTTGTAAAGATTCCTTTCAGCAACCAAATGGTAATGCTTCAGAGACGACTTCATGTCCCAGCTTTATTCCTTCAAGGCTGTAAAGATTCCTTTCAGCAACCAAATAATAATGCGACTTCAGAGACCTTCTGTACCTTTCATGTCCCAGCGACTTTATTCCTTCAAGGCTGTAGAAGATTCCTTTCAGCAACCAAATGGTAATGTTTCAGAGACGACTTCATGTCCCAGCTTTATTCCTTCAAGGCTGAAGATTCCTTTCAGCAACCAAATAATAATGCTCAGACGACTTCATGTCACTTCATGTCCCAGCAACCGGTAAGCCGTATTCCTTCAAGGCTGTGTGAAGATTCCTTTCAGCAACCAAATAATAATGCTTCAGAGACGACTTCATGTCCCAGCTTTATTCCTTCAAGGCTGTAGAAGATTCCTTTCAGCAACCAAATAATAATGCTTCAGAGACGACTTCATGTCCCAGCTTTATTCCTTCAAGGCTGTAGAAGATTCCTTTCAAGCAACCAAATAATATTCCTTCAAGCTTCAGAGACATTCAGAGACGACTTCATGTCCCAGCTTTATTCCTTCAGGCTGTAGAAGATTCTTTCAGCAACCAAATAATAATGCTTCAGAGACGACTTCATGTCCCAGCTTTATTCCTTCAAGGCTGTAGAAGATTCCTTTCAGCAACCAAATAATAATGCTTCAGAGACGACTTCATGTCCCAGCTTTATTCCTTCAAGGCTGTTCCTTTCAGAAGATCCCTTCATGTCCCAACCAAATAATAAATAATGCTTCAGAGACGACTTCATGTCCCAGCTTTATTCCTTCAAGGCTGTAGAAGATTCCTTTCAGCAACCAAATAATAATGCTTCAGAGACGACTTCATGTCCCAGCTTTATTCCTTCAAGGCTGTAGAAGATTCCTTTCAGCAAACCAAATAATAATGCTTCAGAGACGACTTCATGTCCCAGCTTTATTCCTTCAAGGCTGTGAAAGATTCCTTTCAGCAACCAAATAATAATGCTTCAGAGACGACTTCATGTCCCAGGCTTTATTCCTTCAAGGTAATGTTCAGAAGATTCAACAGCAAAAATTCCAAATGGTAATGCTTCAGAGACGACTTCATGTCCCAGCTTTATTCCTTCAAGGCTGTAGAAGATTCCTTTCAGCAACCAAATAATAATGCTTCAGAGACGACTTCATGTCCCAGCTTTATTCCTTCAAGGCTGTAGAAGATTCCTTTCAGCAACCAAATGGTAATGCTTCAGAGACGACTTCATGTCCCAGCTTTATTCCTTCAAGGCTGTAGAAGATTCCTTTCAGCAACCAAATAATAATGCTTCAGAGACGACTTCATGTCCCAGCTTTTGTTCCCTTCAAGGCTGTGAAGATTCCTCAGCAACCAAATGGTAATGCTTCAGAGACGACTTCATGTCCCAGCTTTATTCCTCAAGGCTGTAGAAGATTCCTTTCAGCAACCAAATGCTTAATGCTTCAGAGACGACCGACTTCCTTATTTATTCAAGGCTGAAAGTTCCCAGCAACCAAATGGTAATATGTCCTTTATTCCTTCAAGGCTGTAGAAGATTCCTTTCAGCAACCAAATAATAATGCTTCAAGACGAAATTTATTCCTTCAAGGCTGTAGAAGATTCCTTTCAAACCAAAAAATGGTTTCAGAGACGACTTCATGTCCCAGTTTTATTCCTTCAAGGCTGTAGAAGTTCGCTTTCAGCAACCAAATAATAATGCTTCAGGGAACGACTTCATGTCCCAGTTTTATTCCTTCAAGGCTGTGAAGACCTTTCAGCAAACCAAATAATAATGCTTCAGAGACGACTTCATGTCCCAGCTTTATTCCTTCAAGGCTGTAATGAAGATTCCTTTATTCCTTCAGCAACCAAATAATAATGCTTCAGAGACGACTTCATGTCCCAGCTTTATTCCTTCAAGGCTATGAAGATTCCTTTCAGCAACCAAATAATAATGCTTCAGAGACGACTTCATGTCCCAGCTTTATTCCTTCAAGGCTGTAGAAGATTCCTTTCAGCAACCAAATAAATGCTTCAGACGACTTCATGTCCCAACTTTTATTCCTTCGAGGCTGTAGAAAATTCCTTTCAGTCCCAAATAATAATGCTTCAGAGACGACTTCATGTCCAACTTTATTCCTTCAAGGCTGTAGAAGATTCCTTTCAGCAAATGGTAATGCCAAACGAATTCATGTCACAGCTTTATTCAGAGACGAAGATTCCTTTCAACAACAAATAATAATGTTCCGACTTCATGTCCCAGCTTTATTCCTTCAAGGCTGTAGAAGATTCCTTTCAGCAATGCTTCAAAACGACTTCATGTCCCAGTTTATTCCTTCAAGGCTGTAGAGATTCCTTTCAGCTTGAGACGACCCAGCTTTATTCCTTCATGTCCCGACTTCATGTCCCAGCTTTATTCCTTCAAGGCTGTAGAAGATTCCTTTCAGCAACCAAATAATAATGCTTCAGACGACTTCGTGTCAGCTTTGTTTCAAGGCTGTAGAAGGTCCTTTTCAGCAACCAAATAAAAACAATGCTTCAGAGACGAAAAAATAATAATGCTTCCATGTCCCAGCTTTTATTCCTTCAAGGCTTAGAAGATTCCTTTCAGCAACCAAAATGGTAATGCTTCAGAGACGAATTCATGTCCCAACTTTTATTCCTTCAAGGCTGTGTAGAAGATTCCTTTCAGCAAACCAAATAATAATGCTTCAGAGACGACTTCATGTCCCAGCTTTATTCCTTCAAGGCTGTAAGATTCCTTTCAGCCACCAAATAATAATGCTAGAGACGACTTCATGTCAGCTTTATTCCTTCAATGGATTCCTTTCAGCAACCAAATAATAATGCTTCAGAGACGACTTCATGTCCCAGCTTTATTCCTTTCAAAGGCTGTAGAAGATTCCTTTCAGCAACCAAATGGTAATGCTTCAGAGACGACTTCATGTCCCAGCTTTATTCCTTCAAGGCTGTGAAGATTCCTTTCAGCAACCAAATAATAATGCTTCAGAGACGACTTCATGTCCCAACTTTATTCATAAGGCTGTTCCTTTCAGCTTTATAATCTGAACGACTTCAAGGCTTTATTCCTTCAAGGCTGTAGATTCCTTTCAGCAACCAAATAATAATGCTTCAGAGACGACTTCCATGTCCCAGCTTTATTCCTTCAAGGCTGTAAGATTCCTTTCAGCAACCAAATGGTAATAATGCTTCAGAGACGACTTCATGTCCCTTTTATTCTTCAAGGCTTTATTCCTTCAAGGCTGTAGAAGATTCCTTTCAGCAACCAAATAATAATGCTTCAGAGACGACTTCATGTCCCAGCTTTATTCCTTCAAGGCTGTAGAAGATTCCTTTCAGCAACCAAATAATAATGCTTCAGGGAGACGACTTCATGTCCCAGCTTTATTCCTTCAAGGCTGTAGAAGATTCCTTTCAGCAACCAAATGGTAATGCTTCAGAGACGACTTCATGTCCAGCTTTATTCCTTCAAGGCTGTAGAAGATTCCTTTCAGCAACCAAATAATAATGCTTCAGAGACGACTTCATGTCCCAGCTTTATTCCTTCAAAGGCTGTAGAAGATTCCTTTCAGCAACCAAATAATAATGCTTCGAGACGACTTCATGTCCCAGCTTTATTCCTTCAAGGCTGTAGAAGATTCCTTTCAGCAACCAAATAATAATGCTTCAGAGACGACTTCATGTCCCAGCTTTATTCCTTCAAGGCTGTAGAAGATTCCAACCAAATTTCAAGGCTTTGTAGAAAGGCTGTGATTCCTTTCAGCAACCAAATAATAATGCTTCGAGAGACGACTTCATGTCCCAGCTTTATTCCTTCAAGGCTGTAGAAAGTTCCTTTCAGCAACCAAATAATAATGCTTCAACGACTTCATGTCCCACTTTATTCCTTCAAGCTTTATTCCTTTCAGCAACCAAATTCAATGCTTCAGAAGATTCCCAACTTTCAAGTCTATGAAGATTCCTTTCAGCAACAAGTAATGCTTCAGAGACGACTTCATGTCAGCTTTATTCCTTCAAGGCTGTAGAAGATTCCTTTCAACAAATAATAATGCTTCAAATAATTTTGAAAGGCTGTAAAAGATTCCTTTCAACAACAAATAATAATGCTTCAGGAACGACTTCATGTCCCAGCTTTATTCATTCAAGGCTGTAGAAGATTCCTTTCAGCAAAAATAATAATGCTTCAGAGGGCGACTTCATGTCCCAACGCTTTATTCGCTCAAGGCTGTAGAAAGGTTCCTTTCAGCAACCAAATAATAATACTTCAGAGACGACTTCATGTCCAACTTTATTCCTTCAAGGCTTATAGAAGATTCCTTTCAACAACCAAATAATAATGCTTCACTGTGTCCCAACTTTATTCCTTCAGCTTTAAATTCCTTTCAGGCAAATAATAATGAAGGGCGATTCCTTTCAGCTTTATTCGCTAATAATAATGATTCCTTTCAGCAAACAAATGGTCATGTTCAGCAGCTTCATTCCCAGCTTTATTCCTTCAGGCTGTGAAGATTCCTTTCAACAACCAAATGGTAATCTTCAGAGACGACTTCATGTCTTGCTTTGTTCAGCCTTCAAGGCTGTAGAAGATTCCTTTCAACAGCAAATAATAATGCTTCAGAGACGACTTCATGTCCCAGCTTTATTCCTTCAAGGCTGTAGAAGATTCCTTTCCAGCAACCAAATAATAATGCTTCAGAGACGACTTCATGTCCCCAGGTTTTATTCCTTCAAGGCTGTTAGAAGATACCTTTCAGCAACCAAAATAATAATGCTTCAGAGACGACTTCATGTCCCAACTTTATTCCTTCAAGGCTGAAAGTTCTTTCAGCAGCAAATAATAATGCTTCAAGACGACTTCATGTCCCAGCTTTATTCCTTCAAGGCTGTAGAAGATCCTTTCAACGTAAATAATAGTAACTGAGACGACTTCATGTGTCTGCTTTATTCCTTCAAGGCTGTGGAAAGATTCCTTTCAGCAACCAAATAATAATGCTTCAGAGACGACTTCATGTCCCAGCTTTATTCCTTCAAGGCTCTATGAAAAGATTCCTTTCAGCAACAAATAATAATGCTTCAGGGACGACTTCATGTCCCAGCTTTATTCCTTCAAGGCTGCCAGAAGATTCCTTTCAACAACCAAATGGTAATGCTTCAGAGACGACTTCATGTCCCAGCTTTATTCCTTCAAGGCTAGAAGATTTCCCTTTCAAACCAAATAATGCTGGGGCTTCATGTCCCAACCAAGGCTGTAGTAACCAAATAATAATGCTTCAGAGACGACTTCATGTCCCCAGCTTTATTCCTTCAAGGCTGTGAAGATTCCTTTCAGCAACCAAATAATAATGCTTCAGAGACGACTTCATGTCCCAGCTTTATTCCTTCAAGGCTGTAGAAGATTCCTTTCAGCAACCAAATGGTAATGCTTCAGAGACGACTTCATGTCCCAGCTTTATTCCTTCAAGGCTGTAGAAGATTCCTTTTCAGCAACCAAATAATAATGCTTCAGAGACGACTTCATGTCCTAGCTTTATTCCTTCAGGCCTTTGAAGAAATTCTGCTTCAGAGACGAATTCCAAATGTAGAAAGATTCTTCAGCAACCAATAATGCGCAAACTTCATGTCCCAGCTTTATTCCTTCAAGGCTGTAGAAGATTCCTTTCAGCAACCAAATAATAATGCTTCAGAGACGACTTCATGTCCAAGCTTTATTCCTTCAAGGCTGTAGAAGATTCCTTTCAGCAACCAAATGGTAATGCTTCAGAGACGACTTCATGTCACAGCTTTTATTCCTTCAGGGCTAGAAGATTCCTTTCAGCAACCAAATAATAATGCTTCGAGACGACTTCATGTCCCAGCTTTATTCCTTCAAAGGCTGTAGAAGATTCCTTTCAGCAACCAAATAATAATGCTTCAGAGACGACTTTCATGTCCAGCTTTATTCCTTCAAAGGCTGTAGAAGATTCCTTTCCCAACCGTAATAATGCTTCCAGACGACGACTGTCCCAGCTTTATTCCTTCAAGGCTGTGAAGATTCCTTTCAGCAACCAAATAATAATGCTTCGAGACGACTTCCTTCAACTTTTATTCCTTCAAGGCTGTAAAGATTCCTTTCAGCAACCAATAATAATGCTTCAGAGACGACTTCATGTCCCAGCTTTATTCCTTCAAGGCTCATGAAGATTCCTTTTCAGCAACCAAATAATAATGCTTCAGGAGACGACTTCATGTCCCAGCTTTTTTCCTTCAAGGCTGTGAAAGATTCCTTTCAGCCAAATAATAATGGCAGAGACGACTTCATGTCCCAGCTTTTGTTCAGCCTTCAAGGCTGAAAGTTCCTTTCAACAAATGTCTTCAGAGACGACTTCATGTCCAACTTTATTCCTTCAAGGCTGTAGAAGATTCCTTTTCAGCAACCAAATGGTAATGCTTCAGAGACGAATTCATGTCCCCAGCTTTATTCCTTCAGGCTGTAGAAGATTCCTTTCAGCAACCAAATAATAATGCTTCAGAGACGACTTCATGTTTAGCTTTATTCCTTCAAGGCTGTAGAAGATTCCTTTCGGCAACCAAATAATAATGCTTCAGAACGTCTTCATGTCCCCTTATTCCTTCAAAGGCTGTAGAAAATTCCTTTCAGCAACAAATGGTAATGCTTCGAGAACGACTTCATGTCCCCAGCTTTATTCCTTCAAGGCTGTAAAATTCCTTTCAGCAACCAAATGGTAATACTTCAGAGACGACTTCATGTCAGCTTTATTCCTTCAGGCTGTTAAGTTCCTTTCAGCAACCAAATGGTAATGCTTCAGAGACGACTTCATGTCCCAGCTTTATTCCTTCAAGGCTGTGAAGATTCCTTTCAGCAACCAAATAAAAATGCTTCAGAGAGACTTCATGTCCCAACTTTGTTATTCAGCTAAAGGCTGTAGAAGATACCTTTCAGCAACCAAATAATAATGCTTCAGGGCGACTTCATGTCCCAGCTTTATTCCTTCAAGGCTGTAAGATTCCTTTCAGCAACCAAATAATAATGCTTCAGAGACGACTTTATTTAGCTTTATTCCTTCAAGGGCTGTAGAAGATTCCTTTCAGCAACCAAGTAAAATGCTTCAGAACACGACTTCATGTCTACCTTTATTCCTTCAAGGCTGTAGAAAGATTCCTTTCAACAACCAAATGGTAATGCTTCAGAGACGACTTCATGTCCCAGCTTTATTCCTTCAAGGCTGTAGAAGTTCTTTCAACAACCAAGTTTTCACGACCAAATAATGTCCCGAGACGACTTTATTCCTTCAAGGCTGTGAAGATTCCTTTCAACTTAACAAATAATGCTTCAGGAGACGACTTCATGTCCCAGCTTTATTCCTTCAAGGCTGTATAGAAAATTCCTTTCAGCAACCAAATAATAATGCTTCAGAGACGACTTCATGTCCCAGCTTTATTCCTTCAAGGCTGTAGAAGATTTCCTTTCAGCAGCAAATGAAGTAATGCTTCAGAGACGACTTCATGTCCCAGCTTTATTCCTTCAAGGCTGTAGAAGATTCCTTTCAGCAACCAAATAATAATGCTTCGAGACGACTTCATGTTCCAGCTTTATTCCTTCAAAGCTGTAGAAGATTCCTTTCAACAACCAAATAATAATACTTCGAGACGACTTCATGTCCCAGCTTTATTCCTTCAAGGCTAAGCCAGAAGATTTCAGCAACAAATAATAATGTGAGGGACGACTTCATGTCCCAGCTTTATTCCTTCAGGCTGCCAGAAGATTCCTTTCAACAACCAAATGGTAATACTTCAGGAACGACTTCATGTCCCAGCTTTATTCCTTCAAGGCTGTAGAAAATTCCTTTCAGCAACCAAATGGTAATGCTTCAGAGACGACTTCATGTTTCAGCTTTATTCCTTCAAAGGCTAGAAGATTCCTTTCAACAACCAAATGGTAATGCTTCAAGAGACGACTTCATGTCCCAGCTTTTTCCTTCAAAGGCTTCCTTCAAGGACTTCATGTCTAATTCCTTCAAGGCTGTGGGATTCCCTTTCAGCAACCAAATAATAATGCTTCAGAGACGACTTCATGTTTCCAGCTTTATTCCTTCAAAGGCTGTAGAAAGATTCCTTTCAGCAACCAAATGGTAATGTTCGAGACGACGACTTTATTCCTTCATGTTTCCAACCAAATAATTATTCTCATTCCTTCAGGCTGTGAAGATTCCTTTCAACAACCAAATGGTAATGCTTCAGAGACGACTTCATGTCCCCTTCAAGGCTGTAGAAAGATTCCTTTCAGCAACAAATAATGCTTCAGGGAACGACTTCATGTTCCAAAAGGCTATTCCTTTCAGCAACAAATAATAATGCTTCAGAGACGTCTTCATGTCCCAGCTTTTTATTCCTTCAAGGCTGTGAAGATTCTTTCAACACCAAATGGTAATGCTTCAGAGACGACTTCATGTCCCAGCTTTATTCCTTCAAGGCTGTAGAAAATTCCTTTCAGCAACCAAATAATAATGCTTCAGAGACGACTTCTGTCCCAGCTTTATTCCTTCAAGGCTGTAGAAGATTCTTTCAGCAACCAAATGGTAATGCTTCAGAGACGACTTCATGTCCCAGCTTTATTCCTTCAAGGCTGTAAAGATTCCTTTCAACAAACCAAATGGTATCTTCAGAGACGACTTCATGTCCCAGCTTTATTCCCTTCAAAGGCTGTAGAAGATTCCTTTCAGCAACCAAATAATAATGCTTCAGAGACGACTTCATGTCCCAGCTTTATTCCTTCAAGGCTGTAGAAGATTCCCTTCCAACAAATAATAATGCTTCAGAGACGGACTTCATGTCCCAGCTTTATTCCTTCAAGGCTGTAAATTCCTTTCAAACCAAATAATAATGCTTCAGACGACTTCATGTCCCAGATTCCTTCAAGGCTGTAGAAGATTCCTTTCAGCAACCAAATAATAATGCTTCAGAGACGACTTCATGTCCCAGCTTTATTCCTTCAAGGCTGTAAAGATTCCTTTCAACAACCAAATAATAATGCTTCAGAGACGACTTCATGTCCCAGCTTTATTCCTTCAAAGGCTGTGAAGATTCCTTTCAGCAACAAATAATAATGCTTCAGAGACGACTTCATGTCCCAGCTTTATTCCTTCAAGGCTGTAAGATTCCTTTCAGCAACCAAATAATAATGCTTCAGAGACGACTTCATCCCAGCTTTATTCCTTCAAGGCTGTAGAAGATTCCTTTCAGCAACCAAATAATAATGCTTCAGAGACGACTTCATGTCCCAGCTTTATTCCTTCAAGGCTGTAGAAGATTCTTTCAACAACCAAATGGTAATACTTCAGAGACGACTTCATGTCCCAGCTTTATTCCTTCAAGGCTGTAGAAGATTCCTTTCAGCAACAAATAATAATGCTTCAGACGACTTCATGTCCAGCTTTATTCCTTCAAGCTGTGATTCCTTTCCATGCAAATAATAATGCTTCAGGGACGACTTCGTTCCCAGCTTTATTCCTTCAAGGCTGCCAAGAAAGATTCCTTTCAGCAACCAAATAATAATGCTTCAGAGACGACTTCATGTCCCTTTATTCCTTCAAGGCTGTAGAAGATTCCTTTCAGCAACCAAATATGTCGCTTCGAAGACGACTTCATGTTCCAACTTTATTCCTTCAAGGCTGAAAGATTCCTTTCAGCAACCAAAATAATAATGCTTCAGGGCGACTTCATATTCCAGATTTATTCCTTCAGGCTGTGAAGATTCCTTTCAGCAACCAAATATAGTAATGCTTCAGGGACGACTTCATGTCCCAGCTTTATTCCTTCAAGGCCTTATTGAAGATTCCTTTTCAGCAACCAAATAATAATGCTTCAGAGACGACTTCATGTCCCAGCTTTATTCAGCAAGGCTGTAGAAAATAAATAATAATACTTCAGAACGACTTCTTTCCTTCAAGGCTGTAACCAAATGGTAATGCTTCAGAACGACTTCATGTTCCAGCTTTATTCCTTCAAGGCTGTAGAAGATTCCTTTCAACAACCAAACAATAATGCTTCAGGGACGACTTCATCGCTTTATTCCTTCAAGGCTTTATTCCTTTCAGCAACCAAATGGTAATGCTTCAAGAGACAACTATGTCCCAGCTTTATTCAGATTCCTTTCAGCAGCAAATAATAATGCTTCGAGACGACTTCATGTCAACTTTGTTCCTTCAAGGCTGTAGAAGATTCTTTCAGCAGCAAATAATAATGCTTCAGAACGACTTCATGTCCCAGCTTTATTCCTTCAAGGCTGTAGAAGATTCCTTTCAGCAACCAAATAATAATGCTTCAGGGACGACTTCATGTCCCAGCTTTATTCCTTCAAGGCTGTAGAAGATTCCTTTCAGCAACCAAATAATGCTTCAGGAACGACTTCATGTTCCAACTTTATTCCTTCAAGGCTGTAGAAGATTCCTTTCAGCAACCAAATAATAATGCTTTGAGAGAGACGACTTCATGTCAGCTTTATTCCTTCAAGGCTGTAGAAGATTCCTTTCAGCAACCAAGTGGTAATGCTTCAGAGACGACTTCATGCAGCTTTATTCCTTCAAGTCTGTGAAAGATTCCTTTTCAGCAACCAAATGGTAATGCTTCAGAACGACTTCATGTCTAGCTTTATTCGGCAAGGCTGTGAAGATTCGCAGCAACAAATAATAATGCTTCAGAGACGACTTCATGTCCAGCTTTATTCCTTCAAGGCTGTAGAAGATTCCTTTCAGCAAATAAATGGTAATTTCCCCAGCTTTATTCCTTCAAGGCTGTAGAAGATTCCTTTCAACAGCAACCAAATAATAATTTATTCATCTTCAAGCTTCAGCAACAAACGGTACGACTTCATGTCCCAGCTTTATTCCTTCAAGGCTGTAGAAGATTCCTTTCAGCAACCAAATAATAATGCTTCAGAGACGACTTCATGTCCCAGCTTTATTCCTTCAAAGGCTGTAGAAGATTCCTTTCAGCAACAAATAATAATGCTTCAGAGACGACTTCATGTCCCAGCTTTATTCCTTCAAGGCTGTAGAAGATTCCTTTCAGCAACCAAATAATAATGCTTCAGAGACGACTTCATGTCCCAGCTTTATTCCTTCAAGGCTGTAGAAGATTCCTTTCAGCAACCAAATAATAATGCTTCAGAGACGACTTCATGTCCCAGCTTTATTCCTTCAAGGCTGTGAAGATTCCTTTCAGCAACCAAATGGTAATGCTTCAGAGACGACTTCATGTCCCAGCTTTATTCCTTCAAGGCTGTAGAATTCCTTTCAGCAACCAAATGGTAATGCTTCAGAGACGACTTCATGTCCCAGCTTTATTCCTTCAAGGCTGTAGAAGATTCCTTTCAACAACCAAATAATAATGCTTCAGAGACGACTTCATGTCCCCAGCTTTATTCCTTCAAGGCTGTAGAAGATTCCTTTCAGCAACCAAATGGTAATGCTTCAGAGACGACTTCATGTCCCAGCTTTATTCCTTCAAGGCTGTAGAAGATTCCTTTCAGCAACAAAATAATAATGCTTCAGAGACGACTTCATGTCCCAGCTTTATTCCTTCAAGGCTGTAGAAGATTCCTTTCAGCAACAAATAATAATGCTTCAGAGACGACTTCATGTCCCAGCTTTATTCCTTCAAGGCTGTAGAAGATTCCTTTCAGCAACAAAATAATAATGCTTCAGAGACGACTTCATGTCCCAAATTCCTTCAAGGCTGTGAAAATTCCTTTCAGCAACAAATGGTAATGCTTCAGGGAACGAATTCATGTCCCAGCTTTATTCCTTCAAGGCTGTGAAGATTCCTTTCAGCAACAAATAATAATGCTTCAGAACGACTTCGCTGTCAGCTTTATTCCTTCAGGCTGTAGAAGATTCCTTTCAGCAACCAAATAATAATGCTTCAGAGACGACTTCATGTCCCAGCTTTATTCCTTCGGGCACAACAAAGATTCCTTTCAACCAACAAATAATAATGCTTCTGAAGACGACTTCATGTCAGCTTTATTCAGCCAAGGCTGTAGAAGATTCCTTTCAGCAACCGTGGTAATGCTTCAGAGACGACTTCATGTCAACTTTATTCCTTCAAGGCTGTAGAAGATTCCTTTCAGCAACCAAATAATATTAACTGAGACGACTTCATGTCCCGACTTCCTTCAAGGCTGTGAAGATTCTTTCAGCAACCAAATAATAATGCTTCCGAGACGACTTCATGTCCCAGCTTTATTCCTTCAGAGCATGAAGATTCTTTCAGCAACCAAATAATAATACTTCAAGACGACTTCATGTCAGCTTTATTCCTTCAAGGCTGAAGATTCCTTTTTCAGCAACAAGTGGTAATGCTTCAGAGACGACTTCATGTCCCAGTCCCCTTCAAGGCTTTATTCCTTTTCAGCAACCAAATGGTCAGAGACGACTTCATGTCAGCTTTCCTTCAAAGACATGAGAAGATTCCTTTCAGCAACCAAATGGTAATGCTTCAGAGACGACTTCATGTCCCAGCTTTATTCCTTCAGAGGCTGTAGAAGATTCCTTTCAGCAACCAAATGGTAATGCTTCAGAGACGACTTCATGTCCCAGCTTTATTCCTTCAAGGCTATAGAAGATTCCTTTCAGCAACCAAATGGTAATGCTTCGAGACGACTTCATGTCCCAGCTTTATTCCTTCAAGGCTGTAGAAGATTCCTTTCAGCAACCCGCAAATAATAATGCTTCGAGACGACTTCAGAGACGCAACCAAATAATAATGCTTCATCTTCATGTCCCAGCTTTATTCCTTCAAGGCTGTAGAAGATTCCTTTCACAAACCAAATAATAATGCTTCAGAGACGACTTCATGTCAGCTTTTATTCTTAAGGCTGTGAAGATTCCCTTTCAGCAACCAAATGGTAATGCTTCAGAGAGCTTTATTCCTTCAAGGCTGTAGAAGATTCCTTTTCAGCAACCAAATGTCCCAGTTTATTCCTTCAAGGCTGTAGGAGTTCTTTCAGAGACGACTTCATGTCCCAGCTTTATTCCTTCAAGGCTGTAGAAGATACCTTTCAACAAACCAAATAATAATGCTTCAGAGACGACTTCATGTCAACTTTAATCAGAGACAAATGACTCATGTCCAGCTTTATTCCTTCAGGCTTATAATCTTCTTCATGTCTAGGCTCCTTCAGTGTAGAAGATTCCTTTCAGCAACCAAATGTAATGCTTCAGAGACATGTCCCAGCTTTATGTCCAGCTTGTATTCCTTTCAGCATAAATAATAATGCTTCAGAACGATGTCCCAGCTTTATTCCTTCAGCAACCAAATAAATAATGCTTCAGAGACGACTTCATGTCCCAGCTTTATTCCTTCAAGGCTGTAGAAGATCCTTTCAGCAACCAAATAATAATCTTCAGAGACGACTTCGTGTCCCAGCTTTTATTCCTTCAAGGCTGTAGAAGATTCCTTTCAGCAACAAATGGTAATGCTTCAGAGACGACTTCATGTCCTGTGCTTTATTCCTTCAAGGCTGTGAAGATTCCTTTCAGCAACAAATAATAATGCTTCGAGACGACTTCATGTCCCACTTTATTCCTTCAAGGCTTATTCCAACAACGGCAAATAATAATGCTTCAGAACTTCATAATCCCAGCTTTATTCCTTCAAGGCTTCCTTTCAGCAACCAAATGGTAATGCTTCAGAGACGACTTCATGTCCCAGCTTTATTCCTTCCAAGGCTGTAGAAGATAATAATGCTTCAAGAGACGACTTCATGTCTAGCTTTATTCGCTGGGCTGTAGGGAATTCCAAATAATAATAGCTTCAGACGACGACTTCATGTCCCAGCTTTATTCCTTCTTGAAAAGGCAGCAAATGGTAATGAAGATTCATGTCTTTCCTTCAAGCTGTAAAGATTCCTTTCAGCAGCAAATGGTAATGCTTCAGAACAGACGGTCTTCATGTCCCCAGCTTTATTCCTTCAAGGCTGTAGAAAGATTCCCTTTCAGCAACCAAATAATAATGCTTCAGAGACGACTTCATGTCCCAGCTTTATTCCTTCCGGCTGAAGATTCCTTTCAGCAGCAAATGGTAATGCTTCAGAGACGACTTTTTATTCAGCAACCAAACCAAATAATAATGCTTCAGAGACGACTTCATGTCCCAGCTTTATTCCTTCAAGGCTGTGAAAGATTCCTTTCAGCAACAAATGGTAATGCTTCAGAGACGACTTCATGTCCCAGCTTTATTCCTTCAAGGCTGTTCCTTTCATGAGAATGGTAATGCTTCGAGACGACTTTGTCAGCTTTAACCAAATGGTAATAATGCTTCAGAGACGACTTCATGTCCCAGCTTTTATTCCTTCAAGGCTGTGAAGATTCCTTTCAGCAACCAAATAATAATGCTTCAGGGACTTCATGTCCCAGCTTTTATTCCTGTAGAAGATTCCTTTCAGCAACCAAATAATAATGCCAGAGACGACTTCATGTCCCAGCTTTATTCCTTCAAGGCTGTAGATTCTTTCAGCAACAAATTTCTTCGAGCAACCAATTCCTTCAAAGGCTAATGATTCCTTTCAGAACCAAATGAAGACGACTTCATGTCCCAGCTTTATTCCTTCAAGGCTGTAGAAGATTCCTTTCCAGCAAAATAATAATGCTTCAAATGGTATTCCTTCAAGGCTGTAGAAGATTCTTCAGAGACGAGACGTCTTCATGTCCCAGCTTTATTCCTTCAAGGCTGTAGAAGATTCCTTTCAGCAACCAAAATACACTTCCAGAGACTGTGTCACTTTCATGTCCCAGTCTTTATTCCTTCAAGGCTGTAGAAGATTCCTTTCAGCAACCAAATGGTGCTTCGAACGACTTCATGTCCCAGCTTTATTCCTTCAAGGCTGTAGAAAGATTCCTTTCAACGAAATAGTAATACTTCATTCTGTCCCAGCTTTATTCCTTCAAGGCTGTAGAAGCTTCCAGGAACGACTTCATGTTTTATTCCTTCAAGGCAACCTTTCAAACCAATGCTTCAGAGACGACTTCATGTCCCAGCTTTATTCCTTCAAGGCTGTAGAAGATTCCTTTCAGCAAATGGTAATGCCAAACTTCATGTCCATTTATTGCTTCATGCTTTCAGAGACGACGACTTCATGTCCCAGCTTTATTCCTTCAGGCTGTAGAAATTCAAGGCAAATAATAATGCTTTAGAACGACTTCATGTCCCAGCTTTCAGCAACCTGTAAATTCATGGCAACCAAATAATGCTTCAGAGACGACTTTGCTGTCCCAGCTTTATTCCTTCAAGGCTGTAGAAGATTCCTTTCAGCAACCAAATAATAATGCTTCAGAGACGACTTATGTCCCAGCTTTATTCCCTTCAAGGTTGCAGAAGATTCCTTTCAGCAACCAAATAATAATGCTTCAGAGACGACTTCATGTTCCAGCTTTATTCCTTCAGGGGCTGTAGAAGATTTCTTTCAGCAACAAATAATAATGCTTCAGAGACGACAAATGGTAATACTTCAGAGACGACTTCATGTCCCCAGCTTTATTACTTCAAGGCTGTAGAAGATTCCTTTCAGCGACTTCATGTCCCATTTATTACTTCAAGGCTGTAGAAGATTCTGGTCAGCAACCAAAGGCTGTAAAGATAATGCTTCAGAGACGAGACTTCATGTTCCAGCTTTATTCCTTCAAGGCTGTAGAAAGATTCCTTTCAGTAACCAAATGGTAATGTTTCAGAGACGACTTCATGTCCCAGCTTTATTCCTTCAAGGCTGTAGAAGATTCCTTTCAGCAACAAATAATAATGCTTCAGAGACGACTTCATGTCCCAGCTTTATTCCTTCAAGGCTGTAGAAGATTCCTTTCAGCAAACAAATGGTAATGCTTCAGAGACGACTTCATGTCCCAGCTTTATTCCTTCAAGGCTGCTTCAGAGAGATTCCTTTCCTTCAAGGTGTAAAGATTCCTTTCCAACCAAATAATAATGCTTCAGAGACGACTTCATGTCCCAGCTTTCACCTTCAAGGCTTCCTTTCAAGGTAATGCTTCAGAGACGACTTCATGTCCCAGCTTTATTCAGCAAAGATTCCAAACCAAATAATAATGCTTCAGAGACGACTTCATGTCCCAGCTTCCTTCAAGGCTGTAGAAGATTCCTTTCCTTGGCAATGGTAGAAGACTATTGTCCTTTTATTCCTTCAGCAAAGATTCCAAACCAATAATGCTTCAGAGACGACTTCATGTCCCAGCTTTATTCCTTCAAGGCTGTAGAAGATTCTTTCAGCAATAAAATGGTAATTCATGCTTTTATTCTAGAGATTCAACTTCAAATGTCCCAGCTTTATTCTTTAAGGCTGTGAAGATTCCTTTCAGCAACCAAATGGTAATGCTTCAATGACTTCATGTAGACGACCTTCAAGGCTACAGTCCCAGCAAATTATTCGACTTCATGTCCCAGGCCTTCAAGTAGAAGATTCCTTTCAGCAACCAAATACAGCTTCAGAGACGACTTCATGTCCCAGCTTTATTCCTTCAAGGCTGTAGAAGATTCCTTTCAGCAAAAATAAAATGCTTCAGAGACGACTTCATGTTCCAGACGAAGGCTGGAAGATTCCTTTTCCCCAAATATGTCCCAAGACGACTTCATGTCCTTTCATTCAAGGCTGTAGAAGATTCCTTTCAGCAACCAAATAATAATGCTTCCAGAGACGACTTCATGTCCCAGCTTTATTCCTTCAAGGCTAGAAGATTCCTTTTTTTCAGCAACCAAATGGTAATGCTTCAGAGACGACTTCATGTCCCAGCTTTATTCCTTCAAGGCTGTAGAAGATTCCTTTTTCAGCAAACTGTGAAGATTCCTTTCCAGCAACCAAATAAATGCTTTCAGACGACTTCATGTCCCAGTCCCAGCTTTTATTCTTCAGAGACGGCTATGTCCCAGATTCCTTCAAGGCTGTGAACCTTTCCAAGCAAATGGTAGCTTCAGAGACGTCCCAGCTTTATTCCTTCAAGGCTGTCCCAAATAATAATGCTTTTCATGTTCCTTTATTCCTTCAAGGCTGTTCCTTTCAGAAGATTTCAAGAGACGACTTCATGTCCCAGCAACCTTCAAAAAATTCCTTTCAGCATGGTAATGCTTCAGAGACGACTGTCATGTATTCCAGGCTTTGTTCCTTTCAAGGCTGTTCATGTTCCAAGATCTTTTCAGCAACCAAATAATAATGCTTCAGGAGACGACTTCGTAATAAGTTTATTCCTTCAAAGGCTGTGATTCCTTTCTAAAGCAACCAAATGGTAATGCTTCAAGATTCCTTTATTCCTTCAAGGCAACCAAAAATAATAATGCTTTCAGAGACGACTTCATGTTCCAGCTTTATTCCCTTCAAGGCTGTAGAAGATTCCTTTCAGCAACCAAATGTAATCAGCAACCAAGTGGTTCCTTTCAAACCAAATAACTTCAGAGACGACTTTGTTGTACTGTAGAAGATCCCAGCAACCACGTTTCATTCTTCCTTCAAGGCTGTAGAAGATTCCTTTCAGCGAAAAACCAAATAATAATGCTGAAGATTCCAGCTTTATTCTAGTAACCTTTCTGCTTCAAATAATAATGCTTCAGAGACGACTTCATGTCCCAGCTTTTATCCTTCAGGGCCTTTCCTTAGCTTCGAAGATTCCCAGCTTTCCTTCAAGGCTGTAACCAAATAAATGGTAATGCTTCAGAGACGACTTCATGTCCTTTTATTCCTTCAAGGCTGTAGAAGATTCCTTTCAGCAACAAATAATAATGCTTCAGAGACGACTTCTGTTTCCAGCTTTATTCCTTCAAGGCTGTAGAAGATTCCTTTCCAGCAACAAATGGTAATGCTTCAGAGACGACTTCATGTCCCAGCTTTATTCCTTCAAGGCTGTGAAGATTCCTTTCAGCAACCAAATGGTAATGCTTCAGAGACGACTTCATCCCAGCTTTTTATTCCTTCAAGGCTGTAGAAGATTCCTTTCAACAAACAAATAATAATGCTTCAGAGACGACTTCATGTTCCAGCTTTATTCCTTCAAGGCTGTAGAAGATTCCTTTCCGCAACCAAATAATAATGCTTCAGAGACGACTTCATGTCCCAGCTTTATTCCTTCAAGGCTGTAGAAGATTCCTTTTCAGCAAACTAAATGGTAATACTTCAGAGACGACTTCATGTCCCAGCTTTTATTCCTTCAAAGGTTGTAGAAGACTTCATGTTTCTTTCCTTCAGCAACACTTTCAAACCAAATGGTAATGCTTCAGAGACGACTTCATGTCCTTCAGGCTTTTATTCCTTTCAAACCAAATAATAATGAAGATTCATGTTCAGCTTTAACTTCAAATAATTCCTTTTCAAACCAAATGGTAATAGCCAGAGACGACTTCATGTCCCAGCTTTATTCCTTCAAGTTGTAGAAGATTCCTTTCAGCAACCAAATAATAATGCTTCAGAGACAACTTCATGTCCCAGCTTATTCCTTCAAGGCTGTAGAAGATTCCTTTCAGCAACCAAATGGTTCATATGCTTTATTCCTTCAAGGCGACCCTTCAAATAATAATGTTCCCAGCTTTATTCCTTCAAGGCTGTAGAAGATTCCTTTCAGCAACCAAGTGGTAATGCCTTCAGAGACGACTTCATGTCCCAGCTTTATTCCTTCAAGGCTGTAGAAGATTCCTTTCAGCAACCAAATAATAATGTTCAGAGACGACTTCATGTCCCAGCTTTATTCCTTCAAGGCTGTAGAAGATTCCTTTCAGCAACCAAATGGTAATGCTTCAGAGACGACTTCATGTCCGCTTTTATTCCTTCAGGGCTGTGAAGATTCCTTTCAGCAGCAAATAATGCTTCAGAGACTTCATGTTCATTTGTTCCCAAGGCTTTATTCCTTTCAAAATGGTAATGCTTCAGAACGACTTCTTTCCAGCTTTACCAGGCTGTAGTTCTTTCAACAGCCAAATAATAATGCTTCAGAGACGACTTGTATTTCATGTTCCTAGCTTATTCCTTTCATAACCAAATGGTAATATGATTCAGTTTACCTTCAAGGCTGTAGGAATTCCTTTCAGACGAAAATGCTTCAGAGTTCATATTTCAGCTTTTATCCTTCAAGGCTGTAGAGATTCCTTTCAACAACCAAATAATATGCTTCAGAGACGACTTCATGTCCAACTTTATTCCTTCAAGGCGTGAAGATTCCTTTCAACCAACAATAGTTTCAGAGACGACTTCATGTCCCAGCTTTGTTCCTTCAAGGCTGTAGAAGATTCCTTTCAGCAACCAAATGTTAATGCTTCAGAGACAACTTCATGTCCCAGCTTTATTCCTTCAAGGCTGTAGAAGATTCCTTCAGCAACCAAATGGTAGTATTAACCAGAGACGACTTCATGTTCATAAAGGCCAGCTTTATCAGCCCTTCAAGGCTGTCAGCTTTGATCCTTCAAGGCTGTGAAATTCTTTCCCAAGCAAATATTAATGCTTCAGGGCACTTCATGTCCAAAGGATTCCTTCAAGGCTGAAGATTCCCCTTTCAGCAACAAATGGTAATGCTTCAGAGACGACTTCGTGTCCCAGCTTTTATTCCTTTCAAGGGCTGTAGAACATTCCTTTCAGCAACAAATATAATAATGCTTCAGAGACGACTTCATGTCCAGCTTTTATTCCTTCAAGGTTGTAGGAATTCCTTTTCAGCAACCAAATGGTAATGCTTCAGACGACTTCATGTCCCAGCTTTATTCCTTCAAGGCTGTAGAAGATTCCTTTCAAACCAAATAATATGCTTCAGAGACGACTTCATGTCCCAGTTTTATTCCTTCAAGGCTGTGAAGATTCCTTTCAACCAAATACACAAATGCTTCAGAGACGACTTCATGTCCCAGCTTTTTATTCCTTCATGTAGAAGATTCCTTTCAGCAACTTCAGAGAGACGACTAAACTTTTATTCCTTCAGAAGACTTTCAACAACTTAGACTTCATGTCCCAGCTTTTTTTCTTCAAGGGCTGCTTAGAAGATTCCTTTTCAGCAAAAATAAATGGTAATGCTTCAGAGACGATTCCTTCATGTCCCAGCAACCAAATTAATTCCTTCATTTATTCTTCAAAGAAGATTCCTTTCAGCAACAAATAATAATGCTTCAGAGATGACTTCCATCCCAGCTTTATTCCTTCAAGGCTGTAGAAGATTCCTTTCAGCAACAAATGGTAGCAATGCTTCAGAGACGACTTCATGTCCCAGCTTATTCCTTCAAGGCTGTAGAAGATTCCTTTCAGCAACCGGAAATACTTCAGAGATTGACTTCATGTCCGCTTTATTCCTTCAAGGCTGTAGAAGATTCCTTTCAGCAAACAAATGGTAATGCTTCAGAGACGACTTCATGTCCCAGCTTTTATTCCTTCAAGGCTGGCGAAGATTTCTTTCAGCAAATTAAATAATAATGCTTCAGAGACGACTTCATGTCGCTTTATTCCTTCAAGGCTGTAGAAGATTCCTTTCAGCAACCAAATAATAATGCCTTCAGGTAGAAGATTCCTTTCAGCAACCAAATATGTCTTCAGAGCGACTTCATGTCCTTTCTTCAAGCTGTAGAAGATTCCTTCAACAACCAAATGGTAATGCTTCAAGAACGACTTCGCCTTGTCCCAGCTTTATTCCTTCAAAGGCTGTAGAAGATTCCTTTCAGCAAACAAATAATAATGCTTCAGAGACGACTTCATGTCCCAGCTTTATTCCTTCAAGGCTGTAAGATTCCTTTCAGCAAACAAAATAATGCTTCAGAGACGACTTCATGTCCAGTTTTATTCCTTCAAGGCTGTGAGATTCCTTTCAGCAACCAAATGGTAATGCTTCAGAGACGACTTCATGTCCCAGCTTTATTCCTTCAAGGCTGTAGAAGATTCCTTTCAGCAACCAAATAGTAATGCTTGAGACGACTTCATGTCCCAGCGGCCCCTTCATAGCTGTAGAAGACTCTTTCAGCAACCAAATAATAATGCTTCAGAGACGACTTTCATGTCCCAGCTTTTATTCTCAAGGTCGTAGAAGATCTCCTTTCACAACCAAAATAATATAATTTCATGTCCCATTTTTGTCTTCAAGGCTGTAGTATTCTTCAGTAACCTAAATAATAAATGTTCAGAGACGACTTCATGTCCCAGTTTTATTCCTTCAAGGCTGTAGAAGATTCCTTTCAGCAACCAAATAATAATGCTTCAGAGACGACTTCATGTCCCAGCTTTATTCCTTCAAGGCTGTAGAAGATTCCTTTTCAGCAACAATGGTACGCTTCAGAGACGACTTCATGTCCCAGCTTTATTCCTTCAAAGGCTGTAGAAAATTCCTTTCAGCAACCAAATGGTAATACTTCAGAGACGACTTCATGTCCCAACTTTATTCATTCAGGCTGTGAAGATTCCTTTCAGCAGCAAATAATAATGCTTCAGACGACTTGTCCCAACTTTTCCTTCAAGGCTGTAGAAGATTCCTTTCAGCAACAAATGGTAATGCTTCAGAGACGACTTCATGTCCCAGCTTTATTCCTTCAAGGCTGTGAAGATTCGCTTTCAGCAACAAATAATAATGCTTCAGAACGACTTCATGTCCAGCTTTATTCCTTCAAGGCTGTAGAAGATTCCTTTCAGCAACCAAATAGTAATGCTTCAGAGACGACTTCATGTCAGCACGTTCCTTCAAGGCTGTAGAAGATTCCTTTCAGCAGCAAATAATAATGCTTCAGAGACGACTTCATGTCCCAGCTTTATTCCTTCAAGGCTGTAGAAGATTCCTTTCAGCAACCAAATGGTAATGCTTCAGAGACGACTTCATGTCCCAGCTTTATTCCTTCAAGGCTGTAGAAAATTCCTTTCAGCAACCAAATAATAATAACTTCAGAGACGACTTCGTATCCCAGCTTTATTCCTTCAAGGCTGTAAAGATTCCTTTCCTTCAACCAAATAATAATGCTTCAGAGACGACTTCATGTCCCAGCTTTATTCCTTCAAGGCTGTAGAAGATTCCTTTCAACAACCAAATGGTAATGCTTCAGAGACGACTTCATGTCCCAGCTTTATTCCTTCAAGGCTGTAGAAGATTCCTTTCAGCAACCAATGGTGTGGTAATGCTTCAGAGACGACTTCATGTCCCAGCTTTATTCCTTCAAGGCTGTATGAAGATTCCTTTTCAACAGCAAATAATGATAGCTCAGAGACGACTTCATGTCCCAGCTTTTATTCCTTCAAGGGCTGTAGAAGATTCCTTTCAGCAACAAATAATAATGCTTCAAGGACGACTTCATATCCCAGCTTTATTCCTTCAAGGCTGTAGAAGATTCCTTTCAACAACAAATAATAATGCTTCAGAGACGACTTCATGTTCCAGCTTTATTCCTTCAAAGGCTGTAGAAGATTCCTTTCAAGCAACAGTAATATTCACTTCAGAACGACTTCATGTCCCAGCTTTATTCCTTCAAGGCTGTGAAGATTCCTTTCCTTAACCAAATGGTGATAACTAGAGACGACATGTCCCAGCTTTTTCCTTCAAAGGCTGTAGAAGATTCCTTTCAGCAACCAAATAATAATGCTTCAGAGACGACTTCATGTCCAGCTTTATTCCTTCAAGGCTGTAAAGATTCCTTTCAACAACCAAAAATAATGCTTCAGAGACGACTTCATGTCCCAGCTTTATTCGCTAAGGCGCGAAAGATTCCTTTCAGCAACCAAATAATAATGCTTCAGAACTAAAGGCTTTATGTCCCAGCTTTAAGGCTGTATTCCTTTCAGCAACCAAATAATAATGCTTCAGACGACTTCATGTCCCAGCTTTATTCCTTCAAGGCTGTAGAAGATTCCTTTCAGCAACCAAATAATAATGCTTCAGAGACGACTTCATGTCCCAGCTTTATTCCTTCAAGGCTGTAGAAGAATCCTTTCAGGAACCAAGTGGTAATGCTTCAGAGACGACATGTTCCAGCTTTATTCCTTCAAGTCTGAAGATTCCTTTCAGCACCAAATGGTAATGCTTCAGAACGACTTCATGTCCCAGCTTTCTTCAACTAAGGCTGTAAAAGATTCCTTTCAGCAACCAATAATAATGCTTCAGAGACGACTTATGTCCCCAGCTTTATTCCTTCAAGGCTGTAGAAGATTCCTTTCAGCAACCAAATGGTAATCTTCAGAGACGACTTCATGTCCCAACTTTATTCCTTCAAGGCTGTAGAAAGATTCCTTTCAGCAACCAATGGTAATGCTTCAGAGACGACTTCATTGTCAGCTTTATTCCTTCAAGGCTGTAGAAGATTCCTTTCAGCAACCAAGTGGTAATACTTCAGAGACGAGCTTCATGTCAGCTTTATTCAGCTAAAGGCTGTAGAAGATTCCTTTTCAGCAACCAAATAATAATGCTTCAGAGACGACCTTCATGTCAACTTTATTCCTTCAAGGCTGTAGAAAATTCCTTTCAACCAGCAAATAATAATGCTTCAGAGACGACTTCATGTCCCAGCTTTATTCATATTCAGATATGAAAGATTCCTTTCGGCAAGCAAATGAAATTGTGCTTCAGAGACGACTTCATGTCCCAGCTTTATTCCTTCAAGGCTGTGAAGATTCCTTTCAGCAACCAAATAATAGTAACTAGAGACGACTTTAGTATCCCAGCTTTATTCCTTCAGGCTGTAGAAGATTCGCTTTCAGCAACCAAATAATACTTCGAGACGACTACATGTCCTTTGTTCCTTCAGAAGCTGTAGAAGATTCCTTTCAACATCAAATGGTAATGCTTCAGGGCAACTTCATGTCCCAGCTTTATTCCTTCAAGGCTGTAGAAGATTCCTTTCAGCAACAAATAATAATGCTTCAGAGACGACTTCATGTCCCAGCTTTATTCCTTCAAGGCTGTAGAAGATTCCTTTCAGCAACCAAATAATAATGCTTCAGAGACGACTTCATGTCCCAGCTTTATTCCTTCAAAGGCAACCAAATGGTAATGAGAGACGACTTCCCCAGCTTTTATTCCTTCAAGGCTGTAGAAGACAAACCAAATAATAATGCTTCAGAGACGACTTCATGTCCCAGCTTTATTCCTTTCAAGGCTGTAGAAGATTCCTTTCAGCAACCAAATAATAATGCTTCAGAGACGACTTCATGTCCCAGCTTTATTCCTTCAAGGCTGTAGAAGATTCCTTTCAGCAACCAAATGGTAATGCTTCAGAGACGACTTCATGTCCCAGCTTTATTCCTTCAAGGCTGTAGAAGATTCCTTTCAGCAACCAAATAATAATGCTTCAGAGACGACTTCATGTCCCAGCTTTATTCCTTCAAGGCTGTAGAAGATTCCTTTCAGCAACCAAATGGTAATGCTTCAGAGACGACTTCATGTCCCAGCTTTATTCCTTCAAAGGCTGTAGAAGATTCCTTCCAGCAAATCAAGGCTGTAGAGATTCTTTCAGCTTTATTCCTTCAAGGCTGTAAGATCCAAATAATAATGCTTCAGAGACGACTTCATGTCCCAGCTTTATTCCTTCAAGGCTGTAGAAGATTCCTTTCAGCAACCAAATGGTAATGCTTCAGAGACGACTTCATGTCCCAGCTTTATTCCTTCAAGGCTGTAGAAGATTCCTTTCAGCAACCAAATAATAATGCTTCAGAGACTTCATGTCCCACTTTATTCCTTCAAGGTGTCCCTTTCAGCTTCAGAGACGACTTCATGTCCCATTTATTCCTTCAAGGCTGTAGAAAGATTCCTTTCAGCAACCAAATGGTAATGCTTCAGAGACGACTTCATGTCCCAGCTTTATTCCTTCAAGGCTGTAGAAGATTCCTTTCAGCAACCAAATAATAATAATGCTTCAGAGACGACTTCATGTCCTAGCTTTATTCCTTCAAGGCTGTAGAAGATTCCTTTTCAGCAACCAAATAATAATGCTTCAGAGACGACTTCATGTCCCAGCTTTATTCCTTCAAGGCTGTAGAAGATTCCTTTCAGCAACCAAATAATAATGCTTCAGAGACGACTTCATGTCCCAGCTTTATTCCTTCAAGGCTGTAGAAGATTCCTTTCAGCAACCAAATAATAATGCTTCAGAGACGACTTCATGTCCCAGCTTTATTCCTTCAAGGCTGTAGAAGATTCCTTTCAACAAACCAAATAATAATGCTTCAGAGACGACTTCATGTCCCAATTCCTTCAAGGCTGTAGAAGATTCCTTTCAGCAACCAAATAATAATGCTTCAGAGACGACTTCATGTCCCAGCTTTATTCCTTCAAGGCTGTAGAAGATTCCTTTCAGCAACCAAATAATAATGCTTCAGAGACGACTTCATGTCCTAGCTTTATTCCTTCAAGGCTGTAGAAGATTCCTTTCAAGCAACCAAATGGTAATGCTTCAGAGACGACTTCATGTCCCAGCTTTATTCCTTCAAGGCTGTAGAAGATTCCTTTCAGCAACCAAATAATAATGCTAGAGACGACTTCATGTCCCAGCTTTATTCCTTCAAGGCTGTAGAAGATTCCTTTCAGCAACAATAATAATGCGACTTCAAGACTATTCCTTAATAATGCTTCAGAGACGACTTCCAGCTTTATTCCTTCAAGGCTGTAGAAAATTCCTTTCAGCAACCAAATAATAATGCTTCAGAGACGACTTCATGTCCCAGCTTTATTCCTTCAAGGCTGTCCAGCAAGAAGCATACCTTTCATGTCAACTTTGTTCAAAAGGCTGTGAAAATAAACCAAATGCTTCAGAGACGACTTCATGTCCCAGCTTTATTCCTTCAAGGCTGTAGAAGATTCCTTTCAGCAACCAAATAATAATACTTCAGAGACGACTTCATGTCCCAGCTTTATTCCTTCAAGGCTGTGAAAGATTCCTTTCAGCAACCAAATGGTAATGCTAGAGACGACTTCATGTCCCAGCTTTATTCCTTCAAGGCTGTGAAGATTCCTTTCAGCAACCAAATAATAATGCTTCAGAGACGACTTCATGTCCCAGCTTTATTCCTTCAAGGCTGTAGAAGATTCCTTTCAGCAACAAAATAATAATGCTTCAGAGACGACTTCATGTCCCAGCTTTATTCCTTCAAGGCTGTGAAGATTCAGCAACCAAATTTCAGCAACCCAATAATAATGCTTCAGAGACGACTTCATGTCCCAGCTTTATTCCTTCAAGGCTGTAGAAGATTCCTTTCAGCAACCAAATGGTAATGCTTCAGAGACGACTTCATGTCCCAGCTTTATTCCTTCAAGGCTGTGGGATTCCTTTCAACAACCAAATAATAATGCTTCAGAGACGACTTCATGTCCCAGCTTTATTCCTTCAAGGCTGTGAAAGATTCCTTTCAGCAACCAAATAATAATGCTTCAGAGACGACTTCATGTCCCAGCTTTATTCCTTCAAGGCTGTAGAAGATTCCTTTCAGCAACCAAATAATAATGCTTCAGAGACGACTTCATGTCCCAGCTTTATTCCTTCAAGGCTGTAGAAAGATTCCTTTCAGCAACCAAATAATAATGCTTCAGAGACGACTTCATGTCCCACTTTATTCCTTCAAGGCTGTATAAGATTCTTTCAGCAACCAAATGGTAATGCTCAGAGACGACTTCATGTCCCAGCTTTATTCCTTTTATTCCTTTCAAGGCTGTCAGAAGGCTGTATTCCTTTCAGCAACCAAATAATAATGCTTCAGAGACGACTTCATGTCCCAGCTTTATTCCTTCAAGGCTGAAAGATTCCTTTCAGCAGCAAATAATAATGCTTCAGAGACGACTTCATGTCCCAGCTTTATTCCTTCAAGGCTGTAGAAATTTCCTTTCAGCAACCAAATGGTAATGCTTCAGACGACTTCATGTCCCAGCTTTATTCCTTCAAGGCTGTGAAAAGATTCCTTTCAGCAACCAAATAATAATGCTTCAGAGACGACTTCATGTCCCAGCTTTATTCCTTCAAAGGCTGTAAAGATTCCTTTCCTAATAATGCTTCAGAGACGACTTCATGTCCCAGCTTTATTCCTTCAAGGCTGTAAAGAAGATTCCTTTCAACAACCAAATGGTAATGCTTCAGAGACGACTTCATGTCCCAGCTTTATTCCTTCAAGGCTGTAGAAGATTCCTTTCAACAACCAAATAATAATGCTTCAGAGACGACTTCATGTCCCAGCTTTATTCCTTCAAGGCTGTAGAAAATTCCTTTCAGCAACCAAATGGTAATGCTTCAGAGACGACTTCATGTCCCAGCTTTATTCCTTCAAGGCTGTAGAAGATTCCTTTCAGCAACCAAATAATAATGCTTCAGAGACGACTTCATGTCCCAGCTTTATTCCTTCAAGGCTGTAGAAGATTCCTTTCAGCAACCAAATAATGCTTCAGAACGACTTCATGTCCCAGCTTTATTCCTTCAAGGCTGTAGAAGATTCCTTTCAGCAACCAAATAATAATGCTTCAGAGACGACTTCATGTCCCAGCTTTATTCCTTCAAGGCTGTAGAAAGATTCCTTTCAAGCAGCAAATAATAATGCTTCAGAGACGACTTCATGTCCCAGCTTTATTCCTTCAAGGCTGTAGAAGATTCCTTTCAGCAGCAAATAATAATGCTTCAGAGACGACTTCATGTCCCAGCTTTATTCCTTCAAGGCTGTAGAAGATTCCTTTCAGCAACCAAATAATAATGCTTCAGAGACGACTTCATGTCCCAGCTTTATTCCTTCAAGGCTGTAAGATTCCTTTCAGCAGCAAATAATAATGCTTCAGAGACGACTTCATGTCCCAACTTTATTCCTTCAAGGCTGTAGAATTCCTTTCAGCAACCAAATAATAATTTCAGAGACGACTTCATGTCCAACTTTTCCTTCAAGGCTGTAGAAAATTCCTTTCAAGTAATAATGCTTCAGAGACGACTTCATGTCCCAGCTTTATTCCTTCAAGGCTGTAGAAGATTCCTTTCAGCAACAAATAATAATGCTTCAGAGACGACTTCATGTCCCAGCTTTATTCCTTCAAGGCTGTAGAAGATTCCTTTCAGCAACCAAATGGTAATGCTTCAGAGACGACTTCATGTCCCAGCTTTATTCCTTCAAGGCTGTGAAAGATTCCTTTCAACAGCAAATAATAATGCTTCAGAACGACTTCATGTCCCAGCTTTATTCCTTCAAGGCTGTAGAAGATTCCTTTCAGCAACCAAATAATAATGCTTCGAGACGACTTCATGTCCCAGCTTTATTCCTTCAAGGCTGTAGAAGATTCCTTTCAGCAACCAAATAATAATAGCTTCAGACGACTTCATGTCCCAGCTTTATTCCTTCAAGGCTGTGAAAGATTCCTTTCAGCAACCAAATGGTAATGCCCGACTTCATGTCCCAGTTTATTCCTTCAAGGCTGTAGAAAGATTCCTTTCAGCAACCAAATGGTAATGCTTCAGACGACTTCATGTCCCAGCTTTATTCCTTCAAGGCTGTAGAAGATTCCTTTCAGCAACAAATATGCTTCGAGACGACTTGTCCCCAGCTTTATTCCTTCAAGGCTGTTTCCTTTCAGAACAAATAATAATGCGACTTCTTGTCCCAGCTTTATTCCTTCAAGGCTGTAGAAGATTCCTTTCAGCAACCAAATAATAATGCTTCAGAACGACTTCATGTCCCAGCTTTATTCATGCTTGTAGAAAGATTCCTTTCAACAACCAAATAATAATGCTTCAGAGACGACTTCATGTCCCAGCTTCCTTCAAGGCTGTGGGAGTTCCTTTCAGCAACCAAATGGTAATACTTCAGAGACGACTTCATGTCCCAGCTTTATTCCTTCAAGGCTGTAGAAGATTCCTTTCAGCAACCAAATAATAATGCTTCAGAGACGACTTCCCCAGCTTTATTCCTTCAAGGCTGTGAAGATTCCTTTCAGCAACAAATAATAATGCTTCAGAGACGACTTCATGTCCCAGCTTTATTCCTTCAAGGCTGTAGAAAGATTCTTTCAACAACCAAATAATAATGTAGAAGACGACTTCATGTCCCAATTCCTTCAAGGCTTCTTTCAGCAACCAAATAATAATGCGCTTCAGACGACTTCATGTCCCAGCTTTATTCCTTCAAGGCTGTAGAAGATTCCTTTCAGCAGCAAATAATAATGCTTCAGAGACGACTTCATGTCCCAGCTTTATTCCTTCAAGGCTGTGAAAGATTCCTTCAGCAACCAAATAATAATGCTTCAGAGACGACTTCATGTCCCAGCTTTATTCCTTCAAGGCTGTAGAAGATTCCTTTCAACAGCAAATAATAATGCTTCAGAGACGACTTCATGTCAGCTTTATTCCTTCAAGGCTGTAGAAAGATCCTTTCAGCAACCAAATAATAATAGCTTCGAGACGACTTCATGTCCAACTTTATTCCTTCAAGGCTGTGATTCCTTTCAGCAACAAATGGTAATGCTTCAGAGACGACTTCATGTCCCAGCTTTATTCCTTCAAGGCTGCCACAGAAAATTCCTTTCAGCAACCAAATAATAATGCTTCAGAGACGACTTCATGTCCCATTTATTCCTTCAGCTTTATTCCTTCAAGGCTTTTCCTTTCAGCAACAAATAATAATGCTTCAGAGACGACTTCTTCATGTCCCAGCTTTATTCCTCAAGGCTGTAGAAAGATTCCTTTCAGCAACCAAATAATAATGCTTCAGAGACGACTTCCCATGTCCCAGCTTTATTCCTTCAAGGCTGTAGAACGACTTCATGTCCCAGCTTTATTCCTTCAAGGCTGTGAAGATTCTTTCAGCAGCAAATGCTTCAGAGAGACGACTTCATGTCCCATTTATTCTTCAAGGCTGTAAGATTCCTTTCAGCAACCAAATAATAATGCTTCAGAGACGACTTCATGTCCCAGCTTTATTCCTTCAAGGCTGTAGAAGATTCCTTTCAGGAACAAATGGTAATGCTTCAGAGACGACTTCATGTCCCAGCTTTATTCCTTCAAGGCTGTGAAAGATTCCTTTCAGCAACCAAATAATAATGCTTCAGAGACGACTTCATGTCCCAGCTTTATTCCTTCAAGGCTGTAAAATTCCTTTCAACAACAAATGGTTTCCGACTTCATGTCCCAATTCCTTCAAGGCTGATGGTAATGCTTCAAAGACGACTTCATGTCCAGCTTTATTCCTTCAAGGCTGTGAAGATTCCTTTCAGCAACCAAATAATAATGCTTCAGAGACGACTTCATGTCCCCAGCTTTATTCCTTCAAGGCTGTAGAAGATTCCTTTCAGCAGCAAATGGTAATGCTTCAGAGACGACTTCATGTCCCAGCTTTATTCCTTTTTCAAGGCTGTGAAGATTCCTTTCAGCAGCAAATAATAATGCTTCGAACGACTTCATGTCCCAGCTTTATTCCTTCAAGGCTGTAAGATTCCTTTCACAACCAAATAATAATGCTTCAGAGACGACTTCATGTCCCAGCTTTATTCCTTCAAGGCTGTAGAAAGATTCCTTTCAGCAACAAATAATAATGCTTCAGAGACGACTTCATGTCAGCTTTATTCCTTCAAGGCTGTAGAAGATTCCTTTCAGGAACAAATAATAATGCTTCAGGAACGACTTCATGTCCCAGCTTTATTCCTTCAAGGCTGTAGAAGATTCCTTTCAGCAACCAAATAATAATGCTTCAGAGACGACTTCATGTGTCCCAGGTTTATTCCTTCAAAGGCTGTAGAAGATTCCTTTCAGCAACCAAATGGTAATGCTTCAGAGACGACTTCATGTCCCAGCTTTATTCCTTCAAGGCTGTGAAAGATTCCTTTCAGACATGTCCAAATAATAATGCTTCAAGAGACGACTTCATGTTCCAGCTTTATTCCTTCAAGGCTGTAGAAAATTCCTTTCAGCAACCAAATGGTAATGCTTCAGAGACGACTTCATGTCCCCAACTTTATTCCTTCAAAGGCTGTAGAAGATTCCTTTCAGCAAGCAAATAATAATGTAGAGACGACTTCATGTCCCAGCTTTATTCCTTCAAGGCTGTTCAGAAAATTCCTTTCCTTTATTCCTTCAAGGCTGTGAAAATTCAAATGGTAATGCTTCAGAGACGACTTCATGTCCCAGCTTTATTCCTTCAAGGCTGTAGAAGATTCCTTTCAGCAACCAAATGGTAATGCTTCAGACGACTTCATGTCCCCTTTACTTCAAGGCTGTCCCATTCTTTATTCCTTCAAGGCTGTGAAAAGATTCCTTTCAGCAACCAAATAATAATGCTTCAGAACGACTTCATGTCCCAGCTTTATTCCTTCAAGGCTGTAGAAGATTCCTTTCAGCAACCAAATAATAATGCTTCAGAGACGACTTCATGTCAAGCTTTATTCCTTCAAGGCTGTGAAGATTCCTTTCAGCAACCAAATGGTAATGCTTCTGAGACGACTTCATGTCCAGCTTTATTCCTTCAAGGCTGTGAAGATTCCTTTCAACAACCAAATAATAATGCTTCAGAACATGTCCAACTTTTTCCTTCAACCAAATGGTAATAATGCTTCAGAGACAGCTTCATTCCCAGCTTTATTCAACTAAGGCTGTAGAAGATTCCTTTCAACAACAAATAATAATGCTTCAGAGACGACTTCATGTCCCAGCTTTATTCCTTCAAGGCTGTAAGTTCCTTTCAAACCAAATAATAATGCTTCATGTCCAGCTTTATTCCTTCAAGGCAAAGATTCCTTTCCAAATAATAATTCATGTTGCTTTTATTCCTTCAAGCTTCAAGAGACGACTTCATGTCCCAGCTTTATTCCTTCAAGGCTGTGAAGATTCCTTTCCAGCAACCAATAATGCTTCAGAGACGACTTCATGTCCCAGCTTTATTCCTTCAAGGCTGTGAATTCCTTTCAGCAACCAAATAATAATGCTTCAGAGACGACTTCATGTCCCAGCTTTATTCCTTCAAGGCTGTAGAAGGTTCCTTTCAGCAACCAAATGGTAATGCTTCAGAGACGACTTCATGTCCCAACTTTATTCCTTCAAAGGGCTGAAGATTCCTTTCCAACCAAATAATCATGCTTCAGGGACGACTTCATGTTCAACTTTATTCCTTCAAGGCTGTGAAGATTCCTTTCAGCAACAAATGGTAATGCTTCAGAGACGACTTCATGTCCAGCTTTATTCCTTCAAGGCTGTAGAAAGATTCCTTTCAACAAATAATAATAGCTTCAGGGACGACTTCATGTTCCAGCTTTATTCCTTCAAGGCTGTAGAAGATTCCTTTCAACAGCAAATAATAATGCTTCAGAGACGACTTCATGTCAGCTTTATTCCTTCAAGGCTGTAGAAGATTCCTTTCAACAACAAATGGTAATGCTTCGAGACGACTTCATGTCCCAGCTTTATTCCTTCAAGGCTGTAGAAAACCAAATGGTAATCTTCAGTTCATGTCCCCAGCTTTATTCCTTCAAGTGTAGAAGATTCCTTTCGACTTCATGTCCCGAGCTTTATTCCTTCAAGGCTGTAGAAGATTCCTTTCAACAACCAAATAATAAGACGAATGCTTCCTTCAGAGACGACTTTCATGTCCCTGAGAGACTTCATGTCCCATTTCCTTCAAGGCTGTAGAAGATTCCTTTCAGCAACCAAATATAATGCTTCAGATGACTTCCCAGCTTTATTCCTTCAAGGCTGTACTTTCAGCAACAAATAATAATCCCAGTCAGCTTTATTCCTTTATTCCTTTCCTTTCAAGGCTGTGAAAGATTCCTTTCAGCAAGCAAATAATAATCTTCAGAACGACTTCATGTCCCAGCTTTATTCCTTCAAGGCTGTAGAAGATTCCTTTCAGCAACCAAAATAATAATGCTTCAGAGACTTCTGTCCCCCTTTATTCCTTCAAGGCTGTAGAAAATTCCTTTCAGCAACCAAATAATAATGCTTCAGAGACGACTTCATGTCCCAGCTTTATTCCTTCAAGGGCTGTGAAGATTCCTTTCCAACAACCAAATGGTAATGCTTCAGAGACGACTTCATGTCCCAGCTTTATTCCTTCAAGGCTGTAGAAGATTCCTTTCAGCAACCAAATAATAATGCTTTTTTCCTTCAAAGGCTGTAGAAGATTCCTTTCAGCAACCAAATGGTCATGTGTCCCAGCTTTATTCCTTCAAGGCTGTTTAGAAGATTCCTTTCAGCAACCAAATAATTTCCTTTAAACAAATAGCTTCAGAGACGACTTCATGTTCCAGCTTTATTCCTTCAAGGCTGTGAAGATTCCTTTCAGCAAATAATAATGCTTCAGAGACGACTTCATTGTCCCAGATTTATTCCTTCAAGGCTGTAAGAAGATTTCAACAACCAAATAATAATGCTTCAGAGACGACTTCATGTCCCAGCTTTATTCCTTCAAGGCTGGCGAAGATTCCTTTCAGCAACCAAATAATAATGCTTCAAGAGACGACTTCATGTCCCAGCTTTATTCCTTCAAGGCTGTAGAAGATTCCTTTCAGCAACAAATAATAATGCTTCAGACGACTTCATGTTCCAGCTATTCCTTCAAAGGCTGTGAAAATTCCTTTCAGCAAATAAATAATGCTTCAGAGACGACTTCATGTCCCAGCTTTATTCCTTCAAGGCTGTAGAAGATTCCTTTCAGCAACCAAATAATAATGCTTCAGAACGACTTCATGTCAGCTTTATTCCTTCAAGGCTGAAGATACCTTTCAGCAACAAATAATAATGCTTCAGAGACGACTTCCATGTCGCTTTATTCCTTCAAGGCTGTGAAAGATTCCTTTCAGCAACCAAATGGTAATGCTTCAGAACGACTTCATGTTCCAACTTTATTCCTTCAAGGCTGTAGAAGATTCCTTTCCAAGCAAATGGTAATGCTTCAGAACGACTTCATGTCCTAGCTTTATTCCTTCAAGGCTGTAAAGATTCCTTTCAACAACAAATAATAATGCTTCAGGGCGAATTCATGTCAGCTTTATTCCTTCAAGGCTGTGAAGATTCCTTTCAACAACCAAATGGCGTAATTCAGAGACGACTTCATGTCCCAGCTTTATTCCTTCAAAGGCTGTAGAAAATTCCTTTCCAGCAACCAAATAATAATGCTTCAGAAGACGACTTCATGTCCCAGCTTTATTCCTTCAAAACTGTGAAAATTCCTTTCCAGCAACAAATAATAATGCTTCAGAGACGACTTCATGTCCCAGCTTTATTCCTTCAAGGCTGAAAGATTCTTCAGCAGCAAATGGTAATGCTTCAGAGACGACTTCATGTCCCAGCTTTATTCCTTCAAAGGCTGTAGAAAGATTCCTTTCAGCAACAAATGGTAATGCTTCGAAACGACTTCATGTCCCAGCTTTATTCCTTCAAAGGCTGTAGAAGATTCGCTTCCAACAGCAAATAATGCTTCAGAACGACTTGTGTCCCAGCTTTTATTCCTTCAAGGCTGTGAAAATTCCTTTCAGCAACCAAATGGTAATGCTTCAGGGCGACTTCATGTCAGCTTTATTCCTTCAAAGGCTGTAGAAGATTCCTTTCAACAACCAAATGGTAATGCTTCAAGAGACGACCATGTCCCAGCTTTATTCCTTCAGGCTGGCTTTTCAGCAACCAAATATTAATGAGATTCGACTTATTCGTCCTTTTTTCTTCAAGGCTGCCTTGAAGATTCCTTTCAGCAACCAAATGGTAATGCTTCAGAGACGACTTCATGTCCCAGCTTTATTCCTTCAAGGCTGTAGAAGATTCCTTTCAACAACAAATAATAATCGCCAGAGACGACTTCATGTCCCAGCTTTATTCCCTTCAAGGCTGTAGAAGATTCCTTTCAGCAACCAAATGGTAATCGCTTCGAGGACGACTTCATGTCAACTTTTATTCGCTAGCTTTATTCCTTCAGAGGCTGTCCCAGAAAGATTCCTTTCAACAGCAAATAATAATGCTTCAAATTCATGTCCCAGCTTTAATGCTTTCAGCAAATAATGACTTCAGACGACTTCATGTCCAGCTTTATTCCTTCAAAGCTGTAGAAGATTCCTTTCAAGCTTAACCGTTCATACTTCATGTCTAGCTTTGTCGCTTCAAGGCTGACGTCTTCATGTCCCAGCTTTCCTTCAAAGGCTTCCTTCAAAGCTTCAGAGACGACTATGTCAGCTTTATTCCTTCAAGGCTGATTCCTTTCAACAACCAAATAATGCTTCAATTCATATCGCTTTATTCGCTAAAACATGAGACGACTTCATGTCCCCAGCTTTATTCAGCCTTCAAGGCTGTGAAAGATTCCTTTCAGCAACCAAATGGTAATGCTTCCAGAAGCGACTTCATGTCCCAGCTTTATTCCTTCAAGGCTGTGAAAGATTCCTTTCAGCAACCAAATAATGCTTCATAATTCGTAATGCTTCAGCAACGACTTCATGTCCCAGCTTTATTCCTTCAAGGCTGAAAGATTCCTTTCAGAAATAATAATGATTCCTTTCAGCAACCAAATAATAATGCTTCAAAACGACTTCATGTCCAGCTTTATTCGCTCAAGGCTGAAGAAAATTCCTTTCAGCAACCAAATGGTGATAGCTGAGACGACTTCATGTCCCTTTATTCATGAGCTTTAAAGATTCCTTCAAGGCTGTTCAGAAAGACTTCATCTTTATTCCTTCAGCAACCAACCAAATGGTAATGCTTCAGAGACGACTTTATTCCTTCAAGGCTGTAAGATTCCTTTCAACAGCAAATAATGCTTCAGAGACGATTCATGTCAGCTTTATTCCTTCAAAGGCTGTAGAAGATTCCTTTAACAACCAAATAATAATGCTTCAGAGACGACTTCATGTCCCAACTGTCAGCTAAAGGCTGTAGAAGATTCCTTTCGCTTAACCAAATAATAATGCTTCAAGAGACGACTTCATGTCCCAGCTTTATTCCTTCAAAGGCTGTAGAAGATTCTTCAACAGCAAATAATAATGCTTCAGAGACGACTTCATGTCCCAGCTTTATTCCTTCAAGGCTGTAGAAAGATTCCTTTCAGCAACCAAATGGTGATAACTACAGGGCAACTGTAATCACAGCTTTTATTCCTTCAAGGCTGAAAGATTCCTTTCCAACAACCAAATAATAATGCTTCAGAACGACTTCATGTCAGCTTTATTCCTTCAAAGGCTGTAGAGGAATTCTTTCAGCAACAAATAATAATGCTTCAGAGACGACTTTATGTCCCAACTTTATTCCTTCAAGGCTGTAGAAAGATTCCTTTCAACAACAAATAATAATGCTTCAGAGACGACTTCATGTCAGCTTTATTCCTTCAAGTCTGTATGAAGATTCTTTCAGCAACCAATAATAATGCTTCAGAGACGACTTCATGTCCCAGCTTTATTCCTTCAAAGGCTGTGAAAGATTCCTTTCCAGCAACCAAGTGGTAATGCTTCAGAACGACTTCATGTCCCAGCTTTATTCCTTCCAAGGCTGAAAATTCCTTTTCAGCAACAAATGGTAATGCTTCAGAACGACTTCATGTCAGCTTTTTTCCTTCAAGGCTGTGAAAGATTCCTTTCAGCAACAAATGGCTATTCTTCAGAACGACTTCATGTCCCAGCTTTATTCCTTCAAGGCTGTAGAAGATTCCTTTCAGCAACTAATAATGTCTTAGGAACGACTTCATGTCCAGCTTTATTCCTTCAAGGCTGTGAAGATTCCTTTCAGCAACCGATGGTAATGCTTCGAGACGACTTCATGTCGCTTTATTCCTTCAAGGCTGTAGAAGATTCCTTTCAGCAACAAATAATAATGCTTCAGAGACGACTTACATGTCCAACTTTATTCCTTCTAGGTAGAAGACCAACCAAACTAATGCTTCAGACGATGGCCCAGCTTTATTCCTTCAATACTGAAAAAAATCCTTTCAGCAACCAAATTGAAAAATACTTCAGAGGACGACTTCATTTCCCAAAAATAATATTACCAGGCTGTAGAAGATTTTTCAGCAACCAAATATTGCCAATGTCCCAGCTTATTTTGGTCAGAAAAAATAATAATCCCACGACTATGTCCCACTTTATTTTTTCAAGGCTGTGATAAGATTCCTTTCAATGCTTCAGAGACATTTTTTGAAATGAAGACTAATGCTTCAGAGACGAAAGTTGTCCCAGCTTTAAATGACCCAATGAGGGTTGAAGATTCCTTAAAACAAAACAAATAATTCCTTCACCAAAACCAACCACGAATAGACGACTTATCCCAGTTTTATTCCTTCAAGGCATGGCAACCAAAATGGTAACAAAACGACTTGACTTTAGAAGTTTCTGCACCAAATAATAATGCTTCAGAGACGACTTCATGTCAAAAGTTATTCAGTTAAGAAGATTCCTTTCAGCAACCAAATAATAATGCTTCGGAGACGATTACATGTCCCAGCTTTATTCCTTCAAGGCTGTAGAAGATTCCTTTTCAGCAACCAAATAATAATGGTAATTCCTTCAATGTTAGTTGTAGAAGATACTCTCTGAGACGACCATGTCCCCAATTCCTTCAGGCTGTAGAAGATTTTTCTCATTCAACCATGTCCCACATCTTAATGAAGATCTTTCAAACCTGTTTACGACTATGTCCCAGCTTTAATTCCTTCAAGGCAAAATAGCAAAAACAATTTGAAGATAACAATTCAAAGATTCAGCAAATCCAAATAATTCAGTTTATTCGACTAAATGTCCCAGGTTTATTCCTTCAAAACAGAAGATTCTTTTTAAGCAAACTTAATAATGCTTCAGACGACTTCATGTCCCAGCTTACATTGAAAATTCATTGGTAGAGACGACTTCATGTCCTGTGAAAGGCTACTTTTTCAGCAACAAATAATAATGCTTCAGAGACGACTTCATGTCCCAGCTTTATTCCTTCAAGGCTGTAGAAGATTCCTTTCATCCCCTTGCAACCAAACGAATGTCCCAGCTTTATTCTTCAGGTTCTAGAAGATTCATAACCAAATACAATGCTTCAGAGACGACTTCATGTCCCAGCTTCTTATTCCTTCAAGGCTGTAGAAGATTCCTTTCAGCAACCAAATGGTAATGCTTCAAGAGACGACTTCATGTCCCAGCTTTATTCCTTCAAGGTCTAGAAGATTCCTTTCAGCAACCAAGTAATTCTTCGAGAGACGACTTCATGTCCCAGCTTTTATTCATTTGCAAGGCTGTAGAAGATTCCTTTCAACAACCAAATGGTAATGCTCAGAGACGACTTCATGTCCCAGCTTATTCCTTCAAGGCTGTAGAAGATTCCTTTCAGCAAAAATAAATGGTATGCTTCAGAGACGACTGTCCCTGCTTTATTCCTTCAAGGCTGTAGAAGATTCCTTCAGCAAGCCAAATAATAATGCTTCAGACGACGTCCCAGCTTTATTCTTCCAGGCTGTAGACATTCCTTTCAGCTGTTCCTTCAGAGATGACTTCATGTCCCCAGCTTTATTCCTTTCGTTGTAGAAGATATTTCAGCAACCAAATTGATAATGCTTCAGAGACGACTTCATGTCCCAGCTTTTATTCCCTTCAAGGCATGAGGAGATTCCTTTTCAACCAAATGGTAATGCTTACAGAGACACGACTTCATGTCCCCAGCTTTATTCATTCAAGGCTGTAGAAGATTCCTTTCAGCAACCAAATGGTAATGCTTCAGAGACGACTTCATGTCCCAGCTTTATTCCTTCTTCAGCAACCTGTAGAAGATTCCTTTCATTCAAACCAAAATGGTAATGCTTCAGAGACGACTTCATGTCCAGCTTTATTCTTCAAGGCTGTAGAAGATCCTTTCAGCAACCAAATAATAATGCTTCAGAGACGACTTCATGTCCCAGCTTTATTCCTTCAAGGGCTGTGAAAGATTCCCTTTCAGCAACCAAATGGTAATACTTCAGAGACAATTCCTTCCCAGCTTTATTCCTTCAAGGCTGTGAAAGATTCCTTTCAGCAACCAAATAGCAATGCTTCAGAGACTTCATGTCCCAGCTTTATTCCTTCAAAGGCTGTAGAAGATTCCTCAGCAACCAAATAATAATGCTTCAGAGACGACTTCATGTCCCAGCTTTATTCCTTCAAGGCTGTGAAGATTCCTTTCAACCAACAAATAATAATGCTTCAGAGACGACTTCATGTCCCAGCTTTATTCCTTCAAAGGCTGTGGGGGTTCCTTTCAGCAAATGGTAATGTGCTTCAGAACGACTTCATGTCCCAGCTTTATTCCTTCAAGGCTGTGAAGATTCCTTTCAGCAACCAGTGGTAATGCTTCAGAGACGACTTCATGTCCCAGATTTTCCTTCAAGGCTGAAAAGATTCCCTTTCAGCAACCAAATAATAATGCTTCAGAGACGACTTCATGTCCCAGCTTTATTCCTTCAAGGCTGTGAAAGATTCCTTTCAGCAACCAAATAATAATGCTTCGGGCAGCTTCATGTCCCAACTTTATTCCTTCAAGGCTGTGAAGATTCCTTTCAACAACCAAATGGTAATGCTTCGAGACGACTTCATGTCCCAGCTTTATTCCTTCAAGGCTGTGAAGATTCCTTTCAGCAACAAGTGGTAATACTTCAGAGACGACTTCATGTCCCCAGCTTTATTCCTTCAAGGGCTGTAGAAGATTCCTTTCAGCAACCAAATAATAATGCTTCAGAGACGACTTCATGTCCCAGCTTTTATTCCTTCAAGGCTGTAGAAGATTCCTTTCAGCAACCAAATAATAATGCTCAGAGACGACTTTGTCCCAGCTTTTATTCCTTCAAGGTTGTAGAAGATTCCTTTCAGCAAGCAAATGGTAATGCTTCAGAGACGACTTCATGTCCCAGCTTTATTCCTTCAAGGCTGTGAAGATTCCTTTCAGCAACCAAATAATAATGCTTCGGAGACGACTTCATGTCCCAGCTTTATTCCTTCAAGGCTGTAGAAGATTCCTTTCAGCAACCAAATAATAATGCTTCAGAGACGACTTCATGTCCCAGCTTTATTCCTTCAAAGGCTGTAGAAGATTCCTTTCAGCAACCAAATGGTAATGCTTCGAAGACGACTTCATGTCCCAGCTTTATTCCTTCTGAAGGCTGTAGAAGATTCCTTTCAGCAACCAAATAATAATGTTCGAGACGACTTCATGTCCCAGAGACGACTTCATTCCCAGCTTTATTCTTCAAGGCTGTAGAAGATTCCTTTCAGCAACCAAATGGTAATAATGCTTCACAGAGACGACTTCATGTCCCAGCTTTATTCCTTCAAGGCTGTGAAGATTCCTTTCAACAACCAAATAATAATGCTTCAGAGACGACTTCATGTCCCAGCTTTATTCCTTCAAGGCTGTAGAAGATACCTTTCAGCAACCAAATAATAATGCTTCAGAGACGACTTCATGTCCCAGCTTTATTCCTTCAAGGCTGTAGAAAGATTCCTTCAGCAACCAAATAATAATGCTTCAGAGACGACTTCATGTCCCAGCTTATTCTTCATTCCTTTCAGCAACTGTAGAACGATTCCCCAGCTTTTTCCTTCAAACAACCAAATTTCAGCAAACCAAATAATGCTTCAGGAGACGACTTCATGTCCCAACTTTATTCCTTCAAGGCTGTAGAAGATCCTTTCCAGCAACCAAATAATAATGCTTCAGAGACGACTTTAAGTCCCAGTTTTTATTCATCAAAGGCTGTAGAAGATTCCTTTCAGCAAACAAATAATAATGCTTCAGAGACGACTTCATGTCCCAGCTTTATTCCTTCAAGGCTGTAGAAGATACCTTCAGCAACCAAATAATAATGTCTTCAGGAGACGACTTCATGTCCCAGCTTTATTCCTTCAAGGCTGTAGAAGATTCCTTTCAGCAACCAAATGGTAATGCTTCAGAGACGACTTCATGTCCCAGCTTTATTCAGCAAGGCTGTAGAAGATTCCTTTCAGCAACCAAATGGTAATGCTTCAGAGACGACTTCATGTCCCAGCTTTTATTCCTTCAAGGCTGTAGAAAGATTCCTTTCAGCAACCAAATAATAATGCTTCAGAGACGATTCATGTCCAGCTTTATTCCTTCAAAGGCTGTAGAAGATTCCTTTCAGCAACCAAATAACGATTCAGACGACTTCATGTCCCAGCTTTATTCCCTTTCAAGGCTGTAGAAGATTCCTTTCAGCAACAAATAATAATGCTTCAGAGACGACTTCATGTCCCAGCTTTTAAGGCTGTAGAAGATTCCTTCAGCAACCAAATAATAACAAGGAGACGACTTCTGTGTCCCAGATTCCTTTCCAGCAACCAAATGGTAATGCTTCAGAGACGACTTCATGTCCTAGCTTTATTCCTTCAAGGCTGTAACCAAATAATAATGCTCAAGACGATTCCCCAGCTTTATTCCTTCAAGGCAAAGATTCCAAAACTAAATAATGTTTCAGAGACGACTTCATGTCCCAGCTTTATTCCTTCAAGGCTGTAGAAGATTCCTTTCAGCAACCAAATAATAATGCTTCAGAGACGACTTCATGTCCCAGCTTTGTTCCTTCAAGGCTGTAGAAGATTCCTTTCAGCAACCAAATGGTAATGCTTCAGAGACGACTTCATGTCCCAGCTTTATTCCTTTTCAAGGCTGTAGAAGATTCCTTTCAGCAACCAAATAATAATGCTTCAGAGACGACTTCATGTCCCAGCTTTATTCCTTCAAGGCTGTAGAAGATTCCTTTCAGCAACCAAATGGTAATGCTTCAGAGACGACTTCATGTCCAGCTTTATTCCTTCAAGGCTGTAGAAGATTCCTTTCAGCAACAAATGGTAATGCTTCAGAGACGACTTCATGTCCCAGCTTTTTCCTTCAAGGTTGTAGATTCCTTTCAGCAACCAAATGGTAATACTTCAGACGACTTCATGTCCCAGCTTTATTCCTTCAAGGCTGTGAAGATTCCTTTCAGCAACCAAATAATAATGCTTCAGGAGACGACTTCATGTCCCAGCTTTATTCCCTTCAAGGCTGTAGAAGATTCCTTTCAGCAACCAAATAATAATGCTTCAGAGACGACTTCATGTCCTTCAAGGTCTTTTTCATTCCTTCAAGACACTTATGTCCCAGATTCCTTTCAGCAACCAAATAATAATGCTTCAGAGACGACTTCATGTCCCAGCTTTATTCTTCAAGGCTGTAGAAGATTCCTTTCAGCAACCAAATAATAATGCTTCGACGACGTCTTCATGTCCCAGCTTTATTCCTTTGGCTGTAGAAAGATTCCTTTCAGCAAACGTAATGCTTCAGAGACGACTTCATGTCCCAGTTTTATTCCTTCAAGCTGTAGAAGATTCCTTTCAGCAACCAAATAATAATGCTTCAGAGACGACTTCATGTCCCAGCTTTATTCCTTCAAGGCTGTAGAAGATTCCTTTCAGCAACAAATAATAATGCTTCAGAGACGACTTCATGTCCCAGCTTTATTCCTTCAAGGCTGTAGAAGATTCCTTTCAGCAACCAAATAATAATGCTTCAGACGACTTCATGTCCCAGCTTTATTCCTTCAAGGCTGTAGAAGATACCTTTCAGCAAATCAAATAATAATGCTTCAGAGACGACTTCATGTCCCAGCTTTATTCCTTCAAGGCTGTAGAAGATTCCTTTTCAGCAACCAAATGGTAATGCTTCAGAGACGACTTCATGTCCCAGCTTTTATTCCTTCAAAGGCTGTAGAAGATTCCTTTCAGCAACCAAATGGTAATGCTTCAGAGACGACTTCATGTCTAGCTTTATTCCTTCAAGGCTGTAGAAGATTCCTTTCAGCAACCAACACACGTGAGACGACTATGTCCCATGCTTCAGAGACGAATTCATGTCTATGTCTTTATTCCTTCAAAGGCTGTAGAAGATTCCTTTCAGCAACCAAATAATAATGCTTCAGAGACGACTTCTTTCATGTCCCAGCTTTATTCCTTCAAGGCTGTAGAAGATTCCTTTCAGCAACAAATAATAATGCTTCAGAGACGACTTCATGTCCCAGCTTTATTCCTTCAAAAAGGCTGTAGAAGATTCCTTTCAGCAACAAATAATAACAAGCTTCAGAGACGACTTCCATGTCCCAGCTTTTATTCCTTCAAACCAAATGGCTGTAGTCCCAGCTTTATTCTTCACATGTAGAAGATTCCTTTCAGCAACCAAATAATAATGCTTCAGAGACGACTTCATGTCCCAGCTTTATTCCTTCAAGGCTGTAGAAAGATTCGCTTTCAGCAACCAAATAATAATGCTTCAGAGACGACTTCATGTCCCGGCTTTTATTCCTTCAAGGCTGTAGAAGATTCCTTTCAGCAACCAAATAATAATGCTTCAGAGACGACTTCATGTCCCAGCTTTATTCCTTCAAGGCTGTAGAAGATTCCTTTCAGCAACTAAATGGTACAAGACGACAAACCCAGCTTTATTCCTTCAAGGTAAAGATGCTTCAGAGACGACTTCATGTCCCAGCTTTACCTTCTTCTTCGGCTGTAGAAGATTCCTTTCAGCAACCAAATAATAATGCTTCAGAGACGACTTCCCATGTCCTAGCTATTCCTTCAAGGCTGTAGAAGATCTTTTCAGCAACCGTTTCAGAGACGATTCCCCAGCTTTCAAGGCAGGAAGATTCCAAACCAAATAATATGCTTCAGAGACGACTTCATGTCCCAGCTTTATTCCTTCAAGGCTGTAGAAGATTCCTTCAGCAACCAAATAATAATGCTTCTTCCAGAGACTTCATGTCCAGCTTTATTCCTTCAAGGTTGTAGAAGATTCTTTCAGCAACCGTGGTAATGCTTCAGAGACGACTTACGTCCCAGCTTTATTCCTCGCTGTAGAAGATTCCTTCTAGCAACCAAATAATACGTTTCAGAGAGACGACTTGTCCAGCTTTATTCTTCAAGGCTGTAGTTCCTTTCAGCAACCAAACAATAATGCTTCAGACGAGACTTCATGTCCCAGCTTTTATTCCTTCAAGGCTGTAGAAGATTCCTTTCAGCAACCAAATAATAATGCTTCAGAGACGACTTCATGTCCCAGCTTTATTCCTTCAAGGTTGTAGAAGATCTTTCAGCCACCAGTAATAATGCTTCAGAGACGACTTCATGTCCCAGCTTTATTCCTTCAAGGTTGGGGAAGAATCCTTTCAGGAACCAAGTGGTAATGCTTCAGGAGACGACTTCCCATGTCCCCAGCTTTATTCTTCAAGGCTGTAGAAGATTTCAGCAACCAAATTAATGCTTCAACCTTCTATGTCCCAGGTTTATTCTCAAGGCTGTAGAAGATTCCTAGAGATGGGAGAATGACTTCATGTCCCAGCTTTTATTCCTTCAAGGTTTTCAGCAAACCAAATAATAATGAAGATTGTCCCAGCTTTTATTCAGCAACTAAAACTAAATGGTAATGCTTCAGAGACGACTTCACGTCCCAGCTTTATTCCTTCATACAGTAGAAGATTCCTTTCAGCAACCAACACACGTTTTAGAGACGACTTATGTCCCAGCTTTTATTCCTTCAAGGCTAGAAGATTCCTTTCAGCAACCAAATGGTAATGCTTCAGAGACGTATTTCATGTCCCAGCTTTATTCTCTTCCAGGCTGTAGAAGATTCCTTTCAGCAACCAAATAATAATGCTCAGAGACGACTTCATGTCCCAGCGCTTTATTCCTTTCCAAGGCTGTAGAAGATTCCTTTCAGCAACTAAATAATAATGCTTCAGAGACGTCTTCATGTCCCAGCTTTATTCCTTCAAGGCTGTAGAAGATTCCTTTCAGCAACACACGCTTCAGAGACGACTTCATGTCCCAGCTTTTTTGTCTTCAAGGCTGTAGATATTCCTTTCAGCAACTAAATGGTAATGTTTGTATCGACTTCATGTCCCATTTTATTCCTTCAAGGCTGTGAAGACCTTTCAGCAACCAAATAATAATGTCATAGAGAGACGACTTCATGTCCCAGCTTTATTCCTTCATATTGTAAGATTCCTTTCAGCAAACTAAATAATAATGCTTCAGAGACGACTTCATGTCCAACTTTTATTCATTCAGAAGATTCCTTTCAACTAAATAATCCTTGTCCCAGCTGGTCTTCAAGGCTGTAGAAGATCTTTCAGCAACCAAATGGTAGGTTCGAGACGACTTCATGTCCCAGCTTTATTCATTCAAGCAGAAGATTCTTTCAGCAACCAAATAATAATGCTTCAGAGACGACTTGTCCCAGCTTTATCAGCAGAAGATTCTTTCAAATAAATAATGCTTCAGGAGACGACTTCATGTCCCAGCTTTATTCCTTCAAGGCTGTAGAAGATTCCTTTCAGCAACCAATAATACTTCAGAGACGACTTCATGTCCCAGCTTTATTCCTTCTGAGGCTGTAGAAGATTCACTTTCAGCAACAAATGGTAATGCTTCAGAGACGACTTCATGTCCCAGCTTTATTCCTTCAAGGCTGTAGAAGATTCCTTTCAACAACCAAATAATAATGCTTCAGAGACTTCATGTGTCCCAGCTTTATTCCCTTCAAGGCTGTAGAAGATTCCTTTCCTTGTAAATAAATATTAATGCCAGGAACGACTTCATGTCCCAGCTTTTATTCCTTCAAGGGCTGTAGAAGATTCCTTTTCAGCAACCAAATAATAATGCTTCAGAGACGACTTCATGTCCCAGCTTTATTCCCTTCCTTCAAGGCTGGTAATGCTTCAGAGACGACTTCCTTTCATTCCTTCACAAGATTCCTTCAGCAAACAAATGGTAATGCTTCAGAGACAACAATGTCCCAGTTTTTATTCCTTCAAGGCTGTAGAAGATTCCTTTCAGCAACCAAATGGTAATGCTTCAGAGACGACTTCATGTCCCAGCTTTAATTCCTTCAAGGCTGCCAAAGATTCAACAATAAAGCTTCTGTAGATGACTTCATGTCCTTCCAATTCCTTCAAGAGAAGACCTTTCATGTCCAACTAATGTTCAGTATTTTCTGTCCCAATTCCTTCTGGCTGTAGAAGATACCTTTCAGCAACCAAATAATAATGCTAGAGAGACGACTTCATGTCCCAGCTTTATTCCTTCAAGGCTGTAGAAGATTCCTTTTCAGCAACCAAATAATAATGCTTCGAGACGACTTTATGTCCCAGCTTTTATTCACCAAGGAAGATTCCTTTCTTGTTAAACCATGGTAATGCTCAGAGACGACTCCATGTCCCATTTCCCAACAAGTAAACAAATAATAATGCTTCAGAGACGACTTCATGTCCCAGCTTTTATTCCTTCCGGTTGTAGAAGATTCCCTTTCAGCAACCAAATAATAATAACTTTCAGAGACGACTTCATGTCCCAGCTTTTATTCTTCAAGGCTGTAGAAGATTCCTTTCAGCAACCAAATAATAATGCTTCAGACGACTTCATGTCCCGCTTTATTCCTTCAAGGTTGTAGAAGATTCCTTTCAGCAACTAAATGGTAATAACTCAGAGACGACTTCATGTCCCCAGCTTATTCCTTCATATGTAGAAGATCTTTCAGCAACCAAATAATAATGCTTCAGAGACGACTTCATGTCCCAGCTTTTATTCCTTTCAGCAAACTAAGGCTGAGACGAATGTCCCATTTATCTTTCAACGTAGAAGACTTTCAAACCAATAATGCTGCAAGATGACTTCATGTCCCAGCTTTATTCCTTCAAAATGTGAAAATTCCTTTTCAGCAACTAAATGGTAATGCTTTCAGAGACGACTTTAAGGTCCCAGCTTTATTCCTTCAAAAGGCTGAAGATTCCCTTTCAGCAACCAAATAATAATGCTTCAGAGACGACTTCATATCCCAGCTTTATTCCTTCAAGGCTGTAGAAGATTCCTTTCAGCAACCAAATAATAATAGCTTCAGAGACGACGTATGTCCCTTTATTCCTTCAAGGCTGTATTCCTTCAAGGCAAATAATAATGAGAGACAACTTCATGTCCCAACAACCAAGCTGTAGAAGATACCTTTCAAACCAAATCATAATGGTTCATGTCCGACTTCCATGTCCCAGCTTCCTTCAAGGCTGTAGAAGATTCCTTTCAGCAACCAAATAATAAAGCTTCAGACGACTTCATGTCCCAGCTTTTTCCTTCAAGGCTGTAGAAGATTCCTTTCAATGACCAAATAATAATGCTTCAAGAGACGACTTCATGTCCCAGCATTCGCCTTCAAGGCTGTA